TGCAAGTAGATAAATAGCTTCCGCTGTGGCGGGAAAGTAAATGGTGTTTCTGTGCACTCTAGTTTCCATCACGGTGTCCCGTTGCGCTAGAAGTGGTTTAGCCATGCTAGCCACATGACCCAGAAAGCTGTCTGTGGACAAACGCTGGCTCCCTCGGCCTGAAAAGCGAGACACAACCCCATAGCCACCTTTGACTGGACTTAACCATCCAGGGGTCTTTTACCTTTTTTTTTACCTTTGTGTCCCCCAGACACGGCACATGATTGTTGGCGTGAGGTTTTCTCCACCCCAGGGTACTTCATGAGCCTCTTGACAAGAAGATGTCTATTGTCAGTGCATGAGAAGGACGCAAGGGCTTTGAAGGTTTTTGGACAGTTGTCTTGTGTCACCAACCATAGAATGAAGAAAAGGGCTTCTTAGACTGGGGAAGAATCAAACCATGAATGATGAGTATTTTAAAAAAAGTATTTACTTATACTTTTCAAGTTTATACTTTTCATTAGTTTTACAATCAATGTAACATTTCAAAATTTACTTCTTTCGCCCTCTTTCTGCGGTACCTTAAATTTATTTTTTAATATCTTCTGCATATCAAAATTCATTTAATTATCTACTTTCAATATATACTCTTATGAAACTGCAGGTTATTGCAATAATCCTGCTAATGTTTTTATCTGTTTGCAATTTATCTGTAAATATTCAATAAACTACTTCCATTCTTTTATAAAAAGTTTGTTATCTTGATTTCTTATTCTTCCGGTAAGTTTCACCATTTCTGCATATTCCATAAGTTTTTATATCCATTCTTCCTTTACTTTTGCTGCTGTAGCAGTATACTTAAATAAGTTTCTATACAGTTTGGGTAGTTCTGTCCCTATAATTTCCGAAAGAAAAGCTTCTGGGTTGTTGTTTGTTTTACAAAGGTAATTTTGAACATCCTTTTCAATTCATTGTATATCATTTCCCAGTAAGCTTTAACCTTACTACAAGACCACCAAAACAATGAATGATGGTAAAAGAAAAATCTCCTGTCCTCAGGGAGGCTCGCCTGGTGCCTTCCTTACATATGTTTAAGTCAGTGACGTGTGGTGAACTTTTTCATAGGGAAACAGTTAGGACCAGAGGAAGCAGCTTGCAAGGACCATGGTGGGGGGTGATGTTGTGCCTGTGAGCACCATGTCTTCTTCCCTAAGCTGGGCAGAAGCTTCCTGGGGTTTGAGAAGGAGATGCCAGAGGAACGTTTAGGGGACTAGCCCCGTCCCCCTGGTCCAATGACCACACAGTACTGCTTTAAGTGCCAGGGGCGAGCTTTGGTGCCCTGAGTGAGGACAAAATTTACCTCTCCCCCAATAGTTTTTATTTCCACAATAATTCCTCTTGTTACAGTTGCTTTTTAAATGGATCTTCTCAGTTGGTACCCATATAAATATAAATATCGGTTGTTGTTGTTGTTGTTCCCCTCAGCTTTGAACCCTGTGCAGGAGAACTGCCCACAATGCCCTAAATCCGGCACTGCTGTAATCCTTGGATGAAGAGCGGCATATAAATTGATATAGGGATGCAGGTGGCGCTGTGGTCTAAACCACTGAGCCTCTTGGGCTTGCCAATCGGAAGGTTGGCGGTTCAAATCCCCACAATGGGGTGAGCTCCCATTGCTCTGTCCCAGCTCCTGCCAACCTAGCAGGTCGAAAGCACACCAGTGCAAGTAGATAAATAGGTACTGCTGCAGCGGGAAGGTAACTGGCATTTCCGTGCGCTCTGGTTTCCGTCACGGTGTCCCGTTGCGCCCGAAGGGGTTTAGTCATGCTGGCCAAATGACCTAGAAAGCTGTCTGTGGAAAAACGCCAGCTCCCTCAGCCTGAAAGCAAGATGAGTGCTACAACCCCATAGTTGCCTATGACTGGTCTTAACCGTCCAGGGTCATTTACCTTCACCCTTAAAAAAAATTAATAATATAATATAATATAATATAATATAATATAATATAATATAATTATATAAATAAACAAATAATAAATAAATAAATATATTTGTGTAAAGTGCATTAGATATGGGCAAAATTGCATATAAAAATGTGTCTCTTTAGAGAAATTTACTCAAAAACACCGATGAACTTTCACGAGGTTTTTTAATTATTATTTGCACGCATTACTTAGTGTTGCAAAATGGGGAGAAACGCCCATTTCAAAGGATGTTTGTGTATCATTTTGAAAAGTGTGACTTTGATAAGTTCACGTTTGAATGCCAGCCTATTCCTATCCATAGCGCAGCCGAGCGTTTTGAACAGTGCAAACTCAGATGCTAAACCGGGTCATCGTTAATTTTGGCAACATCGCCATTCTGAAGAGAATCTGAATGAAAGGGGAGAGATTATTCTACAGAGTTCTCTAGAGTGGTAGCAGCATGAGACCAGAGCTGTTAAAGGAATGACATGGCGCTGTGAAGAAAGAGAGAGAAGGAGACGTCTTTGCCAATCGTTTGCCTGAGCCGACTACAGAACAGGGATTTAACAATCTGATGGCATCTTGGCCGAATCACAGTTTGAGCCAAGTTCCTGAGCTGAAATCACCACTCTGATTTGAATCTACTACACCTGGCCCTGTCTTCCACAGCACCTTTGCTGAGAAAGCTTCCCCGCGGGACCATCCCTCCTCTCCATATCTGAAGGTTGCTGAGGAGCAAGTCCCATGTGCTGGTCCAACTGCATCCTGCCAAAAGCAACACTCACAGCTTGGAGGCCAGCCCAGAAATGAGGCGGGTAGGACATTTGGCAGCAACTGTGCCCAGGAGAACGAGGAGTAGATCTCAAAGTCATCCGTTATCAATGATGAATCGAAAACTTTTGGGGCAGAACTTCCTCAGAGTTGAGGGGTACCATTGCTTATGTCTGACAAAGCAGCCAGTTGTTGTTTTTCCCCAAATACGTAATTTGTACTTGAGTAATAAGTATACAGTGGTACCTCGGGTTACATACGCTTCAGGTTACATACGCTTCAGGTTACAGACTCCACTAGCCCAGAAATAGTGCTTCAGGTTAAGAACTTTGCTTCAGGATGAGAACAGAAATCGCGCGGCGGTGACGCGGCAGCAGCAGGAGGCCCCATTAGCTAAAGTGGTACCTCAGGTTAAGAACAGTTTCAGGTTAAGAACGGACCTCCAGAATGAATTAAATACTTAATCCGAGGTACCACTGTACTCATTTGGTAGCATTTTGTGTGTGAGTGGGAAGGCACTTGCTCAGAGAGAGATGTTTGTTTGTTTGTGTATGTGTGTTTGTGTTTGTGTTTGTGTGTGTGTCCCAGGTTTCTCAGATGGGGGCATTACCTAGAAAGGCAACCAGAAATAAGGTAACATCTACACACCTGAACACAACCCTTAGTTCTAACACTTCACTATAACAATGGCAGTGTGTGTCTTTTGGATGAAATGTAATAACAAAACAGGCTATCCTTAAGCATATACAGAGTGTTTTTCCTCACGCAAGTGGAGGCAGGCTCCATACACCTGTGGTTAGGGAGATGGATTTCCAGGTCAGAGTGTATCCTTTCAACGCAGGCTGCAGCTCTAGCTGACTCTGTCACTATTTTTTAAGACCTTGATAACAGAGAATTACTTTTTTATTTATTTATTTAAAACATTTCTTGCCCACACTTCACTGCACAGTAATTCCGGAACATTTTTTTAAAAAAACGTACACCTTTAGGCACCAGGCAAAAACGTTCCTTTTTAACCAGGCCTTTGGTTGATTTGATTTACACCCTATGCCCTTTTAAAATGTTTTTTTTTGGGGGGGTGTTATTGGGTTGTCGTTTTTATTTTTATTTTGTATTTTGTGGTTTTATATCTTGATTTTATTCTGTGAACTTCCCTGGGTATAGGGTGGTATATAAATTCAATTAATAGTAATAGTAATAATAATCTTTCTTCTGACCCACTAAATGTAATTATTTATTAACTTTAAAAGGTCTGAAAAGTAGGGAGTTGACAGCAGCATTCCTTCAACACAGTATCGACCACAATCACGTTCTATGTAATCTCTAGAGGAATTGAGTCAAAAGTTATTGGAGGACATTTTTTTCCCCTGATTGAAATGTTGAGATATTCACTCTCTCTCTCCCGCACACACTGGAAAAAGATTACATTGCAGCATTTTCTCCAAATTTTCCCCATTGCTATGTGTGTACATGGGGGCATGTATTGTTTTCTTTCCCACAGTGGCCTGGAACTGTACAGTGGTACCTCGGGTTACATACGCTTCAGGTTACAGACTCTGCTAACCCAGAAATATTACCTCGGGTTAAGAACTTTGCTTCAGGATGAGAACAGAAATTGTGTTTCGGTGGCGTGGCGGCAGAAGGCCCCATTAGCTAAAGTGGTGCTTCAGGTTAAGAACAGTTTCAGGTTAAGAACGGACCATCGGAATGAATTAAGTACATAGCCAGAGGTACCACTGTTTAAGATCAAGGGCAGCATGGAGGATGCAAAATGGCGGCGAGTTTTCTGCTACAACTCCTACTGGTGCCACTTGCAGTGGCAGCAATAACAAACAAACAAACAACCCATTTCAAAACCTTTCTGAAACAAGAAAACTGCTCCACTGGAACTAAAACTTTGGGGGAAAACACTTCTCTCCATGGAAAAACTCTGCGAGTTTTAGTTCCCACCAATCTGTGCACTCGCAAATGAAGCGGAGAATTTTGTGAGGTCATTCTGTGCACAACTTCAGCCATGAAATTGCCTGTGTGAGCTCTGTCAGGCTCAAGGAGCAGGGCTGCTGCTGTTGCATGTGGAGAGGCGAAGAAAACAAAACAAATAAAATGCAGTTTTGAAGGATGCAAGCCCAACTGCACAACAGAGATGACCGCCTTTGCCCGAGTGGTGAATTTCTTTCTTTTTTTTTAATAAGACCAAACCCAGCCCATCCCAAAGATGTGAATTCCACATTTATTCAGTAGGTGGCAGTTAGAAGCTTAGATGAGATTTGCAGGCGCCATTTAGGTACTAATAGCAGCTGATGCAGCAGCCGGAGCCAGAGCTGCTCTGCCACAGAGAGGAGAGGGAGTAACCGGAGGGACACAAGCATTAACCACGGCCCAGAGACCCGGAGAGGAAGAGAGGGAGCTGGCATCTCAGTGACTAAAGCACAAGGAACGCCAGGAGCACCAAAGAACAGCCACCAATTGGACATAAAGCGGAAGAGGGAAGGAGGAGGGATACAGCTTGGGAGAACTAAAAAACAGCCAGCTCCCAGCCTCAGCAGAACGGCTCTACCTCAGCTACTATGACAGGCAAAAACTGAAGCATATTTATCAGACTTCTTCTTCTCAGGTAAGTCTCCTCATTTTTTATTTTTTAATAAACTCTCTCTAGAATGTTGCATAATGATCAGGATGCACATTACAAGACTGGCTGTAGGCTACAATTTTCACCCGAATGAAATGTGAGGAATGTTTTGACCCATCTGCCTGCTGGAAAAGGGGTGTAAGTCATACAAGATTATTATGTTCTTTTAAAAAACAAAACCAGAGGGGAAACTTAGTGGATGGAAACATTTTGGAATGCAAAAGGGAGGAATACTAGTGAGGGAGAACTTAATAGCTCCGCATCTTTCAAAATGTGCAGGTGATACATTTCGGGGTTAGATTCTCGTGGACCTTGCCTGTTTCTGAAAAAAGAGAGATAGCGCCCTGGCAAATGGATCTGAATATTTTCAAAGCCAAAGAGTAAGGCAGTGCAGGTTGGTAAGTTTTAAACAAATAGTCCCTGACATGTTTTGAACAGAGATGGGTTGGTTCTCCTGTTTTGAACAGCTGGATCAATAATTAGCCCTGAAAGAAATCAAAACAAAGACTGTTTAAGAAAATCAGTTATTTTATCGAGCCTTCCTTCATTATCTTAAAGCAAAATACGTTAAGGAGTGAAGATTCACAAAGTGTTTTCTTTGTACTTTTGAATGCCTATGTAGTTATTTTTAATAGGAATGCACATGCTTATGCAAATGTGCATTTATGCTTGTTTCCCATATATAGTTTGCAAGGTTGATTTTTTGGAATTAAGCTTGCTTTATTTTATTTTTTAAAAAATAAAATCATAGACTTGTAGGGTTTGAAGGAACCCTATGGGTCATCTAGTCTGACCCCCTGCAATGCAGGCTCCTCCGAATTCAAAGAGACTTACTCCCAAATTTGCACGGAATTGCAGCCAGAATTTAGTTATGTGCATGGAGTGTGGATTCCTGGTGTTGTACAGGGGCTGTGTTATAGCCCTATAAAACATATGGAAAAAAATGTTCCCACTGGAAGTATTGCAGTTCTAGAGAGTGCTTCATCATTATCCAGCTGAATTTAGCACATACTGGCACCTTTTCTTGTAACATTTAGCCCCATACAAGTTGTGAATAATTATTAAATAGATTTGCCCGGAAAGCTGCGCTTGTTGTGGTTCAAGAAACTGCAGCTGTAAGGCAAGTAAGGGAGAAATGGCAGAATGGTGCATGGTTCATAGATTCCATAGATTTGGAGCCTTGGAAGGGACCCAGAGGGTAATCTAGTCCAACCCCCTACAATGCAGGGATCGTTTTACCCAATGTGGGGCTCAAACCCATGATCTGGAGATCAAGAGCTGCATGCTCTACAAACTGAGCCACGGATGGTGTAGAGAAAGTGGCCAGAAATACTCCCCACCCCCTTTCATAATACCAGAAACCTACGGTCATTCAATGAAGATAACTTCTGGAAGCTTAATGACCGATAAAAGGAAGTATTTATTTCCACAGTGCATCGTTAACCTATGAAATTACTTCCCAATGACTTGGACAGCTTTAAAAAGGGGTTAGTCAATTTAATAGAAGTTAAGGCGAGTCTTAATGTCTCTAAATGGATACTAGTCTAAATTCCAGCTACGGAATCCCAGCTATTTCCCCCATGTCCTGCTTAGTTGGCTTCCTGTGGGAATCTCCGTGACCATTGGGAAACAGGAATTAGATGGGCTGATCTAGTGGGAATCCTCTTAGGTTCTTATGCTCATTTAAGAAAGGAAATCTTTCCCAGATTTTTTTTTTTTTAAATCCAGCCCAACCGAACTGAAACACAATTATCTGTGGACATTTAATCAGCCGGATTTCATCACCTGACACCGCAGATTTAGTCTGCAGAACTCCTCTAATTCCCATGACAGCCGTTGCTACTTCTTAATTGAAGGTGGAGTCAATATTTAGTTTTCAAATGAAGTCAGAAAAAAGAACAGGGGAAATTGGTTCACTCAACCGCCGGCAGATGAGTTAGAAAAACTTCCTAAATACAAGAGCATTCCAGCAATGGAATAGACTTAGGGTGGTTGTGACATCTTCTTTCATAGAAACTTTCACAAAAACAATGTAAGTAAGGTGGGTCAGGCCATGGTTCCATTCTGCTTCCATCATTAAGCAGCCAGATGTCTAGCTGTGCTCAGAATATGACAGTAGTGGCTTTCCTGTGTTGTGTATATCCAGCATTTGGCTTTGAGATGTATTTAAAAATGGGAGAACTCTCTCTTCTGGTATGTGGAAGGATCTTCTTGCCTGGTACTAGGCTGGAGAAGCCATGGGAGATCCATCCAACTTTGTGATTCTGTACACGTGAGGATGAAAGATCTTGGCGCATGTTTGGCCTTAGCAACATTTGAGTTCTTTCTGTGCATCATGTGCTCAGATACGTCATATTTTGTTGTTGGCATCTGTCTCAGGAGACAATGGAGGAGTGTGCCTTTGCGGGTGAAGTCAAACCATTGGAGAGTTACAGCGCCTGCTGTTGCTGTAGAGACAGATAAGGTGTTAAAACAGCGGTTCTCAACCTGTGGGTCCCCAGATGTTGGACTACAACTCCCATCATCCCTAGCTAGCAAGGCCAGAGCTCAAGGATGATGGGAGTTGTAGTCCAACAACATCTGGGGACCCACAGGTTGAGAACCACTGTTAAAGGTTTCACAAATACATTTATTGACAGAAGGTCTTTAGCTCAGGGGTAAATCACCTGATCTGCATGGGGGACATCCCAGGCTCATTCCCTGGAACCCCCAGTTTAAATTATCAGGTAATAGGTGATGTGAAAGACCTCTGTTGATGTTAGGATACTGTCAGCAGCTCCCGGCTGGTTGCCCAGGGAAGTATAAAGACAAGGAAAAGTTTCTTACAGTCCATTTTTATTTCAAACTTTACAGAGAGAGGCTATAGACCCCAGCCTCTTGAATAATGGCATTGTCCCAAATTAATCTCCAACCCCTGTCTCTCCCACTTCCTCATTCGTCATCACCATCTCCTCTATGGGTGCTCCTACGTGCCCTCTGTCTACAAGCTCTTTGCTCTCCTACTTTTAAGGCTTGCCAGGTTCTGGGAGATATTGGGTCTAGAATGCTTTCTAGTGACAACATGTCAGCCAGTTGCCGCTCCGGTTCTGCCTCCTCTTCTCCCATTATTTCCCAACTTTTCGTCTCATCTGCCTCTGAGCTGTGACCTCCCTCAAATCTCTGTTGTAAATCTATACAGTGGTACCTTGGGTTAAGTACTTAATTCATTCCAGAAGTCTGTTCTTAACCTGAAACTGTTCTTAACCTGAAGCACCATTTTAGCTAATGGGGCCTCCCGCTGCCGCCGCACTGCCGGAGCATGATTTCGGTTCTCATCCTGAAGCAAAGTTCTTAACCTGAAGCACTATTTCTGGGTTAGCAGAGTCTGTAACCTGAAGCGTATGTAACCTCTGCTCAGTCCCTGACAGTTGAAGACTCTGGAGCCCACTGCATAAATGGGCAAACAATCTGACCTGCTCTTAAACAGTTTCCTAGCTTCCTATTGCATCCCCCTCTCCAGCACTGGTAGGTCATAAGGTATGGAACCTGCTTTCCACTGGAAGTCTGTTTATTTTATTCTATTCCCTAAAGCATTTTTTTCCCTCCTAGTTCAGGCAGGTGTGTTGCAGAAATATCATTTATGACATTTAATTTCCATTTCTGGAATTCGATTTGTTTTCTTTTAAACCATGCCTCAGAGAACACTGTATTTTTTTCCTGTGTGTTGCAAAAGAAAATAAAACCATGTATATTTCCAGTACAATTCTTTATTGCACGGCTAGTGCTTGGACAACAGTTCAAAATGCAAACCCACCAGGTACTATGGCCATTGAATTCAAGGCAGAATTTCTGGATGGCATGAAAAATATGTGGGGCAGTTTGATAGGCAGTGCAAGATGCTGTGGTCTTGTTCCAGTGGTGAAATGAGTTGCAGTCACACTTATAGTGTCTACTTGGATGCCCAAACAATTTCCCTAGCTTCCAAAACACACATTTCAGCTAAAGATACCCATTATAAAATCTATGGCAGTCAACTGAGTCACCAAGGCAATTTATAATAATTTGGAAAAACAATTAGATACTTTCTAGCACCGCACTATAGTTTCCTTTGGTGCAAGGCTGATTGAAATTATCTTATTCTGATGGCTAGAAACAGTGAACGTTTCATCTAAATTGAGCCCTCCAACATATAATAATAAATTTAACCTGGAAACGAGAATGTCATAATTTAAACGAGGATACTGTTTTTCATTTACTTGCTGATACGCATTAGCCAGGAGCCGAGGAATATAAAGAGTTAGTGAAATTTGGGGGGAAAGGAAGCCAGATTCCATCTTCTACATTCCTTAACTGAGATGCTGTCAGCACATTCTGGAAACCCCGGTAATCCAATCGACGACGTTGCATTAGAGCAGCAGGGAGAGAGATTTTGTGTCAGAATGACTAGTGAATACTACAGTGCTAGCATCCTCCCCTCTTTTTAAGATGGATGTTCCATAAAGCAGCAGCATGGGTGAAAGCACATCAATTTCCAGGTTGCATAAGGTTCTTTCCACTAATGCTCAGCGGCTCTGGCTGAAAATCAATGCTAGGCAGTAATGAGACTCGCCGAATCGCGCAATTGTTTCTTTACTTTCCCCCTTTTGAATTGAACTTAAATCTTGTCACTGGAAAATGATGATAATTTCAGGGATTAAACCTCATAGCGTCAGCCCTGTTCTGAATTCTTCAGGCGACTCCATTGCTATTAACAGGCACTAACCAGGACATTAACTTTCACAAGTTATCATAAAAAGGACAAAAGACTCCCAAGATTAATTTTGAACATTAGGGTGACTATATTATAATTGCAGTTTATAAAATATTTTTTTATAAATTGACTTTTATAAATACCTGACTTTTAGAAGACATCTGAAGGCAGCCCTGTTTAGGGAAGTTTTTAATGTCTGATGTTTTATTATGTTTTTAATATTCTGTTGGGAGCCGCGCAGAGTGGCTGGGGAGATCCAGTCAGATGGGCGGGGTATAAATAATAAATGATGATGGTGATGGTGATGGCCTATTTGAACCCATAAACCAAAATACTCGTGTCTGTGTGTTTCTTATCAATTTGGGAACTGCGGACCATGGGGCCTTGGCACACAATAGATCTTGCCGTTTGCGGAGAGGAGATTCCTGAAGGTGGTCCTGGGGGAACACCTGCTTGAGATCCTGCAAAATTCCTTCTTGTCCTCTCTACTAGTTTGATTGATTGATGAGTATTTATAAACCACTCAGTATTTTGTTGTTGTTTAGTCGTTTAGTCGTGTCCGACTCTTCGTGACCCCATGGACCAGAGCATGCCAGGCACTCCTGTCTTCCACTGCCTCCCGCAGTTTGGTCAAACTCATGCTGGTAGCTTCGAGAACACTGTCCAACCATCTCGTCCTCTGTCATCCCCTTCTTTTTGTGCACTCCATCTTTCCCAACATCAGGGTCTTTTCCAGGGAGTCTTCTCTTCTCATGAGGTGGCCAAAGTATTGGAGTCTCAGCTTCAGGATCTGTCCTTCCAGTGAGCACTCAGGGCTGATTTCCTTAAGAATAGATAGGTTTGATCTTCTTGCAGTCCATGGGACTCTCAAGAGTCTCCTCCAGCACCATAATTCAAAAGCATCAATTCTTCAGCGATCAGCCTTCTTTATGGTCCAGCTTTCACTTCCATACATCACTACTGGGAAAACCATAGCTTTTACTATACGGACCTTTGTCATGGACAAAGACAAAGACAACTCAGTATTTAGGACAATGATAAAGCAGCACCTAAAAGAAACCACTTAGTGGGATGGGATTGTCTGGAGATTTGGAGTTGGTTGTCAGCAACATGCAGGTGACATGTAGATCCATAATCTCCCTTTCTTCTCAGCCCACAGAGGCTGTGGAAGTTCTCAACAATTATCTGAAACCATTGATGGGCTGGATGGGGGTGAACAAACAGAAACTTAAGTGTCCTTGATTATGAAGACAGCTGGTCCAGTGATAGAATATCCGCTTGTTCTGGAAAAGATTCCACTCTTCTTGAAACATGAAGTTTACATTTTGGGAGTGTACTGAACTGACACTGTTCTTAGATGGTTGAGACACGTGGTGGCTGAGATTACGAGAATTTTTGCCCAGCTTAGGCTGGTGTGGCAAATGGGTCCATTTCTAGAGAGAGCAGACTTGGCTACAGTCAACACATGCCTTGGTTACATCTAGACTAGATTCCTGTAGTGTGCTGTATGTTGACACAAATTCTGCATATATATTAAAGGTGCAAGAGCCCTGAATGTTTTTTGCATCCGACTGTCCTAGTTCAATTTGGCACTGAAAGTAAAGACTGTAATACTCTTTACCAGTCAAAGCGAGAATTCTAAGGCTGGGTGCCACCACCACAAAGGCCCTGTCTGTCAGGCTTCAGGGAATCGGCTTCCTTCCCGGTAGCAGTAAATAAGAAGAGATCAAATGAAAGGAATGTCTTACCAGTTAGATTCTTTAATAATCACAGGGAGAGACAAAAAGAACATGTCTACTAGAAATGGTGGTGCTCCCAATTAAGGCTCACTCCCCCCCACTCCATCCCTATTAATCTACATCACTCCTACATTTTGTAATCTGAGTTTGTACCCTCTTCACTTTCTGTTCTAACACTTTCTGAGCTCTCCGTGTCTTTGGAAAAGGGGATGAATGCTGTCCAGAGACTGTGAATCTGTTAACTCTCTCTCTTCTAGTGTTTCTTCTGCTAGCTGTTCCCCATCCAGTATTTCCCAGCTTCCACCTTCTGAATTATGCCCCTCTGCAAACCATTGTTCCAAATCTATACTGTCCTCCTGCTCCTGGGAAGATTCAGGATCGGGGTAGGGGTTGGGGGGTGGCTCCCACCATTCCTCCTTAGTGCACCCCTCCTCAGCATGGTCTCTGACACTGTCTGACATAATCACCTGTTTCTTTTCTGTTGGTGGATGAAATATACTCAGAGCCGAGAGTGGATTTCATGCTCTTTATTCAGCTCATAGTGGTGAGGAGGAATGGAAGTTCCCCCAGAATGTCTGCTTTATATACATTATTTACACAATGGGCCCCACACAATTGGCTAATTCCAGGATTCTCCTGTAGGCCAATCAGATTGCGGATTCACTTCCACCTGGAGCTGGATTGGGTGGCTCCTGTGGACCAATCAGACTGCTGCATTCTGGATCCTATTGTTCTAGGACCAATCAGACTGCTGTATTCTGTATTTTGGATCCTATTCAACTCTGTACATAACAGTGGAGGTATCCAGAGAATTGTCTCTGAGGAGAATCTTAATATATTGGTTGATCATGGTGTGACAAATTGGTATGATAGACCAACTTTGTGAAGGGCTGTGTAGTCTTGAAGTGTGTGAGGAGACTAAAAAAAGAAAAATTAATCTAAATCATGTAATATCTGCAGATGCCCCACCCACATTTAATGGATGCATCTGAAATTCTGAACATGGTTCAAGATGAGCTCCATAGACTTCCCAAAATGTACTTCATAACAACTGGTACTGAATTTGTAGTATTTTGGTTTTGATCTGTTGACCACGGTATTAAAATGATTGACAAGTGCAGCAAGCATTTTTCTCTGGAAGTGGCTTCCTTGCAACAGAATTTTCAGCTTGTTTCAGGAAGAGAAAAGGGCATCTAGTTTGCAACTAGACTATATTTTATTGCAAATGCAACATCTAAATTATACCGAAATTTACTTGATACATTTTAAGCATCAAATGCATTTTCCCTGTATGCCCACACAGAATTCATATGGTTTTTAGAAGATGGTTTGGCTGGATGTTGTCAGCTACTGGTATGAATACTTCATCCTCTGTGATTAAACTTAGCTCAGCTGGAAATATGGAACACCAGAACTGATTGTTCTCTTGCTACTTAGGCCTTCAAAATAGCAGTATTAATGACTGCTCATTGAAAACATGCCAGCTGCTTTGCTTAATCAGAAATGAAGCCCTGTGATCAATGAATGATAGACTGGTTGGGCTATTCCTCTCTGCCATTTGTGTGTGAAGACACAATGTAGAGTTTTTTGGCCCTTGAGAATGCTGCTGTCAGTACTTACTGGCACAATTGTGATATATTTCACAGCATCTAATAAGTGGCCCTAAACAGATAATCAGATTCTTTGCATCAGGATATCCTTATATCTCAGCGCCCCCGCCAAACAGATGCCTGTCCAGATCCTCTTCAGAAGCCCCCAATGGCCAAAGGAGATGTGAAATTAATGGTGTGAATGCATTCAACATTGATGTGCCTTTAAGGTATGTGTGAGATTCTTTAAAACTGACCAGTTGGACAAGGGTATAACCTTGCCTCTCCCAGGCCTAGACCCTGCCCAGTGGTGGACTCCAGAAAGTTCTCCTGGCCATGGTCCCCTCCTCATTCATGCCACCTTTGAAGGTGACCCGGAAACTGCAATTAATCCAGAATGCGGCAGCTAGACTGGTGACTGGGAGTGGCCGCCGGGACCACATAACACTGGTTCTGAGAGATCTGCATCGGCTCCCAGTACATTTCCGAGCACAATTCAAAGTGTTGGTGCTGGGCTTTAAAGCCCTAAATGGCCTCAGTCCTGTATACCTGAAGGAGCGTCTCCACTCCCATCATTCAGCCCGGACACTGAGATCCAGCGCCGAGGGCCTTCTGGCGGTTCCCTCATTGCGAGAAGTAAGGGTACAGGGAACCAGGCAGAGGGCCTTCTCAGTAGTGGCGCCTGCCCTGTGGAACGCCCTCCCAGCAGATGTCAAGGCAATAAACAACTACCATATTTTACTTTTAAAAGACAACTGAAGGCAGCCCTCTTTAGGGAAGTTTTTAATGTCTGATGCTGTATTGTTTTTAATATTCAGTTGGAAGCCGCCCAGAGTGGCTGGGGAAACCCAGGCAGATGGGCGGGGTATAAATAATAAATTATTATTATTATTATTATTATTATTATTATTATTATTATTGAGCCTGAAAGCACAGAAGTATCCCCAAACCCAGAGGGGTGTTTCATGTCCAGACACCCAACTCAGGAGCTGGCAGATCTTAGAGCCCCCTGCCAATTATCACATGAGGTTCCTGGATATGATGAATGTTTTAGGGTGACCCGTAACCTTGGTCATCCCTTACCATCCATTAATCTGCATATGCCGACAAGTTCTGGCATTTGTAATCAACAAAGTTGTGGCCCAATTTCATCCCAATATTGCTACTCTGTGACTTATTCTAGGGTTGTCTGTGCTTCATTGCACCTGGGTGCGCATAACAGAAACCACAGAACTATATTTATGTGCTTAACATCACATCTAGCTTGACCCTGTGGCAGCAGATCCCACAAGGTCTCTAAGTGCTTAGTTGCACTGTCAAACCATCCCCTTATACTTCAATGTTCCTTGTAATCTTAAATCTCTATCCCTCCTGTTTAAATGTCCTTGACCTATTCTTCGAGGACACTACGAACAGTTCAGAAGCAGAACAGACAGTCAGAACAGGCAACCACTGAGTGCCAGAACATGCAGTAAGCTAAAATAATCTGATTTAAGCCCCACTGCAAGGGAGAAGAAAATAAATGCAGGAATTGGTTCTGAACTGGTATGGGAGGACTATTAAAAAATTTAGCAGCCCTAGCAAGGTGGCACTACTGTATAATTTTACTTCAAAATGCTTTCTCTTATGAAACCTTGACTTTTTATGAAAACATGTTTATGTCCTGATCTCATAACCAGCTACAAGTGATCATCATAGCATCTGAAGATTGTGGTTGAGGTTGAATTCTGACGAGACAGAAGGATGGTTTTTGGGGGACAGGGGGCGGACAGGTGTGGATGACCCCTTGGTCCTGAATGGGATAACTGTGCCCCTGAAGGACCAGGTGCGCAGCCTGGAAGTCATTTTGGACTCACAGCTGTCCATGGAAGTGCAGGTCAATTCTGTGTCCAGGGCAGCTGTCTACCAGCTCTATCTGGTACACAGGCTGAGACCCTACCTGCCCATATAACACCTGTCCTGAAATACCTACATTGGCTCCCAGTATATTTCTGAGCACAAGCCAAAGTGTTGGTGCTGACCTTTAAATCCCTAAACGGCCTTGGCCCAGTATACCTGGAGGAGCATCTCCACCCCATTGTTCTGTCCGGACACTGAGGTCCAGCTCCAAGGGCCTTCTGGCGGTTCCCTCCCTGCGAAAAGTGAGGTTACAGGGAACCAGGCAGAGGGCCTTCTCTGCAGTGGCGCCTGCCCTGTGGAATGCCTTCGCATCAGATGTCAAGGAAATAAACAACTATCTGACTTTTAGAAGACATCTGAAGGCAACCCTGTATCAGGAATTTTTAATGTCTGTTGTTTATAATTTGTTATGTGCTGTAAGCCACCCAGAGTGGGTGGGGTATAAATACATTATTATTATTATTATTATTATTATTATCATCATCATTATCATCATCATCATCATCATCATCACCATCATCATCATACAGTGGTCCAAAGCCATGTTTTTAATTAACATACCACTTTGGGCACAATTGCATGCATCTGTCTTGCACTCTGGTGTCTCAGGGTTTCTGAATGAGGCCTCATGGGTTTGGTTCTTTATTCTAAAATGATACATGAAACACTAACATCTCCTAATGTGCAGCATTTCTGCAGGGACTCTTAAGTGCATTTCCAGACAATTATAATTTTGAACAGAAGCTTAATGGTGCCCACCCCTAAATGCAGGAAGCTACTGTTTAGACACACCTTTAGGAAAGCAAACTATTAACGATGACCTTCTTCTTTATGGCACTTGAGGGTAGTCTGTAATGAGTTTCCATCAACTTATTGAGATTACTTAGCAAGGCTCCTAAAATTCAAAAGCAAAGACTGGCCTGATTATCGTGCCACTACAATAATGGCACCACTGATTCACTAAGAAGAGGGAATGTGTGTTCTCTTAAGCAACAGTGTGCAAAATCCATTAGGAGCTGTCCATAGAAATATCAAATAAACTTACTATTTAGCACCACTTCAATGATTGCGGAAGCAGAAGAATCCTGTTGTTTTAAGAACCCTTATCTGAGTATGTGATGCAACAGATGTTTCTATTTTCCGTGCTACAAGGCATGAGATCATCACTTCTGCCGTATTATAATCACTCGTATTCTCTAGTGTCAATTGTCCATCAGTTCAGGGTACTTAGAAAACTTGGAGAAGATTGGTAAACGCTGATGTTCATTAAATTGCTTACGAAATCATATCTACCAGCAGACAACTAGCAAAAAAAAGCCTCTCTGAAGAAACTAGTTCTAGGATCTTATCGAGGACAGAAAGGGAGTACCAATTTTTGTTTGCTCAGGGAAAACCCCCTCAAATGGAGACTTTTCATTACATCAGTCATCTTGTGCTTTACAGCTAAATTCGGTGTGACTTGGCTTGGTCTGCAGTCCTGTACTTAAAATGCTTCACAAAATTCTTTGTGAATTATTAATCGTCCCGATTGAAATTCTGCATGAACACTCAGAGCCCATCCTCCAGATGAAAAGGCCCGCAAGGCAGAATATCCCACACTTACAGAATATATACACTTACTTAGAAAAAAACTATGCTTTGCTTATTATTTTCCAACCCTCACCCTCTATATTTTATCCTTGGTGTGGGCAACTATTTGAAGTCCACCCAAAGGTGACTGTACCCTCGATACGTGTCCTTTATTCTTGGCTTCTGAAAACCTAGGACAGTGTGCAAATTCTCTTGAGTGGGGATGGGGAACTTCAGATCTGGAGACTGAAGGCAGCCTGGCCCCAGTCCACATGTCCCCAGGCCACAGCCCTTGATGGCTGTACTTCCTGTCATCCCAGTGTTTTTGCCTGGCTGGAATGTGTCCTTGATAATGGATCTTATTTTCCCAGATAGACAAATGTGTGCCTGGGGGGGGGGGCACGTAGAAACCTCTGTGTTAAGTCGTGGGTGAACCTATCAGGCGACACAGCGATTCTTCAAACAGCTCTTGTTTATTCACAGGCCAGAACAGAACTGAACTGAAGGGTTCAGCCAGCCTGCTTATATAGAGCTCCACTAGAACGCAACAGTAACTATTTTCTGTAACTATCCAATCACTGAACGTCACTTTCAATCCCTTATTTGCATATGTGGACCTGAGTGAAAACTATCTACAGTATCCCCCTGCTGGCCCAGGGTGAGAACTTCAGTACATAACACTCTGCCTTTTGTATGGCTAGAATGTAGCCTACTGTACAGTAGGGGAGCAGGTGGCGCTTTGTTCTAAACTACTGAGCCTCTTGGGCTTGCTGATAAGAAGGTCGGCAGTTCAAATCCCCGCAACGGGTGAGCTCCTGTTGCTCTGTCCCAGCTCCTGCCAGCCTAGCAGTTCGAAAGCACACCAGTGCAAGTAGATAAATAGGTACCGCTGTGGGGTAGGGATAATACTTATCTACGGATGTGGGTGGTGTTGTGGTCTAAACCACTGAGCCTCTTGGGCTTGCCGATTAGCAGGTTGGTGGTTCAAATCCCTGTGACGAGGGGACCTCCCGTTACTCTGTCCCAGCTCCTGGCAACCTAGCAGCTTGGAAGCATGCCAGTGCACGTAGATAAATAGATACTACTGCGGCAGGAAGGTAAATGGCATTTCCGTGCACTCTGGTTTCCGTCCCGGTGTCCCGGTGCCAGGAGCGGTTTAGTCCTGCTGGCCATATGACCTGGAAAGCTGTCTGTGGACAAATGCTGGCTCCCTCGGCCTGAAAGCGAGATGAGCGTCGCAACCCCATAGTTGCCTTTGACCGGACGTAATTATCCAGGGGTCCTTTACCTTTTTTACTACTATACAAAAGTAAGGGTTGCATCCATTGCTTGGGCAACCTTTGCCTCTGGCCCTGCACAACCCCCCGCATCCCCCTGCAAGGGAATGTGGGTCTTGGACTGGGAAAGCTTCTAAACCCCTGCCCTACAGAGAACATTTGGGGCTTTTTGGGGAGTCCAAAATAAAAGACATAACTTTTTAGTCCTAGTTCCCTGGTCCTTGCATTTCTTCCCGCACTATTTTTACAGTCAATCGGCCTTTTTCTTCTTCCTAATAAGTGTAATCAGAAGATTCCATGGCAGTGTATAAAAGTGTGAAAAACAGGCCAGACACCATATAAATAAACGATGGGTGATAGCCATACTCAGATCCATGGAAAAGTATTGACGTCAGTAAGGACCCTGCTCTTAGTATGACTGAACTGGATATTGCCTTGTTATCTCTACTAGCCATAAAAGAAGGGATAAACTGATCCTACAGAGTATCCCAAGTGTTTTCATAGGTTGATCATGCTCCCAAAATCTGATGCTCTGCAGTTACCTCTTGCATGGAAAAAAGAGTATAAGTCAGTGAGAGGAATGCAATGATTTCTTTTAAATCAGCCTGCTCAGGGGCTGTAATTAAACATTTCGTTAGAGAGATTCTTTAATCATTACTTATGCTCACTTACGATAATTTTATATTATAGTGATTTTTTTTAAAAAAGAGAAACCTAGCTAATAAATTAGGACTTTCTCTATCAGAGCCAGTTAATGTGAAAAGAGTTCCTAAGTAGCAGAGGCTATATATACACCATGAGTCTTAATCCACATTACACGTCAAGACAAGAGTATATATTAGATTAAACTAAAAGTGACTCTTTTGTGAACAAATGCAAAACCTTAGGAATGCACACGCTTACCAGCAGCTAGGAGATTCATTGAGAGACATGCATAGCTGTCAACGTTTCTGCTTTTTTAAGGGAAATTCCCCGATTCCAAATAGGATTCCTCGCAAGAAAAGGGAAAAGTTGACAGCTATGGACATGGCACGTAACAATATAGCTCAAAGGCATTATCTTTCTGCTTTTTCACAAGGAAATTGGTCTTAACTTGAAATAAAAAAACCCCCCAAAATATTTCTTCATGCAACATCCGGTTAATTTATGGAGCTGGTGCTCAGACTGAAATTCCCAGGTGCCAGAAAAGGATATTTATGTATGCAACAACTGTGGCCCGTGTTTTGTTAGCCCAAAAATGAAAAATGAGCAAGGTCCCAACCAAAGAAGAAGGGCAAATTAAGTTGACAGAATATGCACAGCTTGCAGTCTTAACATAGAGAATAAGAGAACAAGAAGAACATAACGTTTAGAGAAGATTGGAAAACGTTTATTTAATATATGGGAAATAATTGTGTACAGCTGAAAATGCTGGCAGCATTAAGGCAAATTCAACCATGTGAATAAGTTCTAATGGAAGTAATAATGGAATACTGAATGGTATAGTTTTTGTAAAATATGCAGAGATTTGTGATATGTAAAATGAACCATGGAAAGAGAAGAAGGGAAGTCATTGATATTTTAAGGATGTAAAAATGAGTCCTTTAAATTGTAAAACAGAAAATTTAATAAAAAAATTATACACGTAAATTTATAGAGTTGCTACAGTATGTCCTGATGCTGATAACTAGCTGATAAATTTCATAAAGGATTAGACAGAGTTGAAGACAGTTAAGACTAATTAGCCATAAGAGCAAAAAATAAAAATAGAAATGGCACTATCATAATGTTAACACTAGATCCTTGGACACAGGGAATGGCTGTTTCAGTTCTGCTGATCGTGGGCATATTGTTGACCAGTGGCCACCAACAAGAAGCAGCAAATCTTCAATCCAGTCATACTGAGGCAAAGAGGAGGTCAGTGCAGCAAACTTACCCCACCCAGGTTTGAACTCCTTTGTAAAATGCTCTGCCAATTTCAATTCAACACATCTTCTGTTAACCACTCTTAAGGAAGCTTCTTGGTGCAGTAGTAATCGATAGGGGCAAAATTCTGAACAAGGTGGACCTTCGGTCTGATGGCACCAAGGGATTTTATGTTCTTCTTACGGCTTTCACCCAATTAAAGAAATCTTAGTTGTTTAATCACGTTCAACGAAACATTAGGAAGAACATTCTGAAGATACAAGCTGATTGACAGTGGAACAGATTGTCTCATGTGGTAGTGGAGTTTCCTGGAGGTTTTTTTTACAGCGACCACCTGCCAAGGATGTTGTAGTTGAGTATTTCCTGTGTTAGCAGGGGGTTGAACACGGCGCCTCTTGGGCTTGCCAATCAGAAGGTTGGCAGTTCGAATCCGCACGACGGGTGAGCTCCTGTTGCTCTGGCCCAGCTCTTGCCAACCTAACAGTTTGAAAGCACACCAGCGCAAGTAGATAAATAGATACTACTGCGGCAGGAAGGTAAATGGCATTTCCGTGCACTCTGGTTTCCGTCCCGGTGTCCCGGTGCCCCAGAAGCTACTGTTAGGACCATTGTAAGACGTCCGCCAGCTTCCAACCATGGAAATCAGCAGCCTTCAAGCAAGCAAACTTACCTTATTATTGCTCCATAGCATCCCACTGCCAGAGGATTGCCTCCTTCCATTCACCACTTTGCCTCCTCCAAGTGGAAGAAACCTGGGCAGTGCTGAATGTCACATTCATTGCCAGGTGTGTCCTGCTGGAAACAGAAAAGGGCTTTCCCCTTGGCCTGCCTTTATATCCACTCAGTTGCCAAGTGCTTTTGTGACATCACAAGAAACCAGAAGCAGTTTACTCATGCTGGCCACATGACCTGGAAAGCTGTCTGTGGACAAACGGTCGGCCTGAAAGCGAGATGAGTGCCACCCCACACCTCACAGTCACCTTTGACTGGACTTAACCACGCAGGGGTTTACTTTGAACTAAAGGATCTTTGAGTTTCCTTCCAACTGTGTGATTCTGTGAGTTTGAAAATATCAGTTGTATCTGCATCTATTTGGATGCAAAAAAGGAGTATACTATGAGTGCAATTCAACATTGCTATTACAAATGTTTCATCTCCACAAGTATTGTAGCTTGCCAGATAGATGTGTCCTCTGCTTTCCAGACAAACTGTTCTGGGGAGTTATTGTTGTTGTTGTTTAGTCGTTTAGTCGTGCCCGACTCTTCGTGACCCCATGGACCAGAGCACGCCAGGCACTCCTGTCTTCCACTGCCTCCTGCAGTTTGGTCAAACTCATGCTGGTAGCTTCGAGAACACTATTCAACCATCTTGTCCTCTGTCGTCCCCTTCTCCTTGTGCCCGCCATCTTTCCCAACATCAGGGTCTTTTCCAGGGAGTCTTCTCTTCTCATGAGGTGGCCAAAGTATTGGAGCCTCAGTTTCACGATCTGTCCTTCCAGTGAGCACTCAGGGCTGATTTCCTTAAGAATGGATAGGTTTGATCTTCTTGCAGTCCCTGGGACTCTCAAGAGTCTCCTCCAGCACCATAATTCAAAAGCATCAATTCTGGACTTCCGGGGTGGCGCCTCCGGAAAATGGCGGAATTCCCTTCGGACTGAAGGGAACCCGCTGCACGGAGGCTTGGGTCCTGCCGCTACGGCGCAGCGGGGACCCGCAAAAACCACAGGCGGAAGAAGCCTGTGGACGTGGGACTCGGCGGGCACCGAGAGCGCTCTCCCCTTGTACAGGAGCCCGGTAGCGGGCTCCGGAGTGGGAGGTGCGTGGTGCTGTGAGTCGTCTGCTTCCTCCGTGCAGCAAAGCCGCACTGCCGTTATCGGAGAGCGCTGCCTTTTCCTGGACAATTTGGCATCTAAAATATCTATCCGTGAGTACCTGATCTTGGAAGAGTTGAACCACTTTTAAGACTGGTGAATAAACAAATAATATTGGACTTGAAATTGAACTTAATTGGGACTCGGAATGGGAAGGTCTAAACAGGAAGTCGCCTTCCGTTCTTTTGTTATGTGAAGAAAGCAAAGACAAAATATACTAAAGCTTGAAAATTAAATTCTAAGAGAACTAGAATTCAACATCTAAGATTTCTGAACCCCCTTTGACTGCAGGAGAAGAAGGGGGTTGTATTTGGACTTTTCAATCCTGCGGAAGTGAGTTTAAAATAAAGCAATTTTCCACCGCCCTGAACCAGGAGCGGGCTGTCAGAAGTGACGTTCTGAAGTTTATCCAGCTCGACAGTTAGTTAACAGAAGGGTAACATTTTGATTCTACTGTTGCCTCTTGAATTTGGAAGGGGAATTTTGGATAAAGTGTTTCTGGAAAAAGAAAGATTGTTGCTGTTGCTTTTATTCCTTTAAAAAAAAAAAATCCATCTAGTGGAATTTAGTGAAATTGCAACGCAGAGAGATTAAAAGAGAAGGACTATTGGACTATTCTCGTGGGAAAGAATTTTCTTTGACCTTGAAGGACAATGCTAGTACAAAGGCTTGAACAATTGTTCCTGGAAGGTTTTTCAAAACTAAGTGCCCAGCTGGACCAGATGTGTCAGGAGACGACCTTGATGATGGAAGTTACCAGAGCACAGCAGCAAACAAATGAAATTCAGTTAAAGGCTATACAAGCATATGAACCTGCTGTAGTGACGGAGGCTTCAGAGATGGAGGGACCTTTGGACGGGCAAGATCAGCCTTTGAACTTGATAAATGAACTTGGGACAAACCAGATTCGGAAAGATGAAATGTGGTCAGATTTGGAAATGGGGGATGGATCGACCCCCTCCATGTGGTTATTTGGACCTTCCGAGTCTGGTGATGGGCTATCAGAGGATTGGAGTAGCCGAAGTCTCCAAGCTTTGTGGAAATTTGAAGTGGTACTATTTGCTGTCTGGCTTGGGCAATGGGTTTGGGATGGACTTGCTGCAAAGGGTCAAAAGCATTTTCTTGCTGGAGCATCCACGACTGGAAAGGAATCATCAACAAGAGTGGCGAAAGGGGCAAGAAAGAGACTTGAGGGCCTCGGATACGAGACAACCAGGTTAAGGAGCCGGATCATCGAGGTTAAAAGGACTGACAATCCCGGGTCCAGGGGAGGGGAGGTTGGAAGCTGACTGAACTGATTTGACTTATTATTTTTTCTTTTTTATTTTTTAATATTGGGAATGCCTACAAATGTTTGAAGGATGTTGAATGAAATTACATGGCTTAAGTAAGGATTGGTAAATGATTCGTAAAAAGGTAATGATGCAAGAATTTGGTAAATATTGAATATAAGCTATGAGTTTTAAAGTTTTTATATGACAAGAGGGAAAATAGAATAAGGAAACGTAATGACAGATTGTTATGAAAAAACAGAAAGGATTTGCTGTAAAAATTAAAAATCAAGAAACAAAAGAGGGGAGGAGGAGGAAGTCTAGAAAGGAAGTCAATAGAGATTGTAAAGGACTCTATATTTTTGTTTTTCTGTTTCTCTTTTTTTTTTCTTTCTTTTTTGCGGCTGGGTTTTTCTTTTCTTTTTTGTTTATGTACTATTTTTGTTTTTTGTATCCTTAAATTTTTTCTGGAAATTTTTGTTGTTATTTTTTGAAAATTCAATAAATATCAATTATAAAAAAACAAAAGCATCAATTCTTCGGCGATCAGCCTTCTATATGGTTCAGCTCTCACTTCCATACATCACTACTGGGAAAACCATAGCTTTAACTATACAGACCTTTGTTGGCAAGGTGATGTCTCTGCTTTTTAAGAGGCTGTCTAGGTTTGACATTGCTTTTCTCCCAAGAAGCAGGCGTCTTTTAATTTCGTGGCTGCTGTCACCATCTGCAGTGATCATGGAGCCCAAGAAAGTAAAATCTCTCACTGCCTCCATTTCTTCCCCTTCTATTTGCCAGGAGGTGATGGGACCAGTGGCCATGATCTTTGTTTTTTTATATGGAGCTGCAGACCATATTTTGCATCCTCCTCTTTCACCCTCATTAAAAGGTTCTTTAATTCCTCCTCACTTTCTGCCACCAAGGTTGTGTCATCTGCATATCTGAGGTTGTTGATATTTCTTCTGGCAATCTTAATTCCGGCTAGGGATTCATCCAGCCCAGCCTTTCACATGATGAATTCTGCATATAAGTTAAATAAGCAGGGGGACAGTATACAGCCTTGTCGTACTCCTTTCCCAATTTTGAACCAACCAGTTGTTCCATATCCAGGTCTAACTGTAGCTTTTTGTTCCACATAGAGATATTGACCTCCAAAGTAGGGTTGCCATATGTCCAGAATTTCCCAGACATATCCGGAATACTGCAGTCGGAAGCAGTGTCTGGTTGGAAATCACCCGGGGGGGGGGGGTCTGGGAAAATTTGGATGTATGGCAACCCATGTTGACAGTATCATTTTTGGTAATTTTCCTCAACAACTTTGCCAGAAAAAGCTCAACAGTCCAGACTTTCATTGTGTGAAAAATGGCAACCCTACTCCAGAGCCAATCTTGGGGGAGCATCGGGGGGAATCACATTGTGACCCTCTGTCTTTGTGCAGGACTTCTGCTGACGGACTCCACTAGGTGAACCCCATCCTCTGTTTTTAGATGATGCATGTATGTCACCGCTTCCCAACATTGGGTCTTCAGCTGTTTTTGGACTACAACTCCCATCATCCCTAGCTAGCAAGACCAGTGGTCAGGGATGATGGGAATTGTGGTCTGAAAACAGTTGGAGACCCAGGGTTGGGAAACACTGATGTATGTAGTTCAGCAGTAGCAGTATGGAGAGAAGGTACAATGTCTCTCCCAAAATGGCACATGCTACCTGTGGTTTGTATAAATAGTTAAATTTTTTAAAATAAAAATGCCTCTCCCCCCATATATATTATATATATATAGAGAGAGAGAGAGAGTGTTAAATTCATTTTTAATGAATTCATGTAATTAATTAATTAACAAATCTTGCAGCCTCACTTCCCTTATTTAACAAAAATATCAGTGATTAAGATGGCTACCAGAATCAATTTTCTGTTCCAGCACTTGCCAATTAAAATAAATGGTCAACAATTAAATAAATGACAGCATGTTGCTCTTAAGTTTATTCGGAATAATAAAAAGCCAGGGATCAAAGCAAAACTCTTACATGAGAGTAAACCGGGGGTGAAGGAGGGATTTCAAATTCCAAATGGAATGGCTTCCTCAGAGAGGTTCACCTGGTGCCTTTATTATATATTTTCAGGGGTCAGGTGAAAACTTTCCTCTTCAACCAGGCCTTTGGCTGATTAATATTCCACAGCCTTTTGAATGTGTCTGTGGGAAGGGGAGTTATTGTTTTGTTTTGTTTCGTTTTTGTTCTATTTATTTGTGTTTTTACCTTACATTTTCACCATGTCGGCGGCCCTGAGATCTTTGGATGAAGGGTGGCATATAAATTTAATTACATTACATTTAATTAATTTATTAATGGCAATAATAAGTTTCCTGTTGACTTGGAAGACATCATTGCATAATTGCACCCCCGCCCCTTTTAAAGCAAGGGCAGATTGACCAGCAAAAATGCTCAACGCAGAGAACCATAGCTGTCAACGTTTCCCTTTTTTAAAGGGAAATCCCCTTATTCCGAATAGGATTCCTCGCAAGAAAAGGGAAAAGTTGACAGCTATGCAGAGAACCTTTGATGACCGACCTGGACAACAGACCTGGTCCGCATGTTCATTTCCATTTTTAAAAAATTACTTCACCGCAACAGCATCATCCCCTTGGCTCTGTGCTATTCGTACCCAGCTTTGTCCCATCTGCCTTGTCCTTTTAGCTGTAATCACGATTGCGACATTATTCATCGTCATGGCTCTTCTTTACTGCTCTGCCTAAGCCGTAGCCCTAGTTAGCAGCTGTCTCATAGATTTAGTCAGTGTTATCCTCTGGGGGGGAAATTCCTTCTAACTGCCTCCGCTCTTGTTTCTTCCTGTAGGCTGGATTGTGACACGAACTAGACGCCTACTTTCTCTTTGCCTTCTAGAGCCTTTTCGTATCCTTTCTCTTAGCATTTTCTCAGCCCACTTGTCTTTAACATTATACTCTGGGGAGTTCACACTTCGATTGGATATGAGAAGCTGCAATGCCATCCCTGTTTCTCCATATTGTGCTGAGATATAGTCCCATTCTAATGGCTTAACGAGGCAGAATCTTGGCATTTACGATACATTTTGAATCAGGCCCAGAATGCTTCCAGCTTTTCTGCATTAGGCTAGAGACAGAGGGAAATATCTTAATTTGGAAATTGGGGTGAAAGAGTTTTTCTCCTTTTGTTACTTAGTTCCTCCATGGCTTCCCTCTGATTTTACTTTCTAAAATTAATTACAGCAGTACCTCGGGTTAAGTACTTAATTCGTTCCGGAAGTCTGTTCTTAACCTGAGGTACCACTTTAGCTAATGGGGCCTCCTGCTGCCACCGCGCAGCCGCCGCACGATTTCTGTTCTCATCCTGAAGCAAAGTTCTTAACCTGAGGTACTATTTCTGGGTTAGCGGAGTCTGCAACCTGAAGTGTATGTAACCTGAGGTACCACTGTACAGGGTTGGAGCATTTGCAACTTGCAAGCACTTCCTGTTCCTTTATTTTATTCGCATGTTCTCTGCCCCACTCTTTCCGTACTCATCTGCAAGTGTGTGTGGATAAAATGCTGCACCCACAAAAGGCGTGCCCATATATAATAATAATAATAATAATAATAATAATAATAATAATAAATTTTTATTTATACCCCACCCTCCCCAGCCAAAGCCGGGCTCAGAGTGGCTAACACCAGTAAAATTACAATAAAAACATAATGGGGGGGAAAAGAAAAGAAAGAAAAAAACCCCAATTTAAAATACGGGTTAAAATACAATTTAAAATGTAGCCTCATTTTAATAGTAGCCCATAGATCAAAACCATAAGGGGAGGGAAACATAAGGGTCAGACTGAGTCCAAACCAAAAGCCAGGCAGAACAGCTCTGTCTTGCAGGCCCTGCGGAAAGATGTCAAGTCCCGCAGGGCCCTAGTCTCTTGTGACAGAGCGTTTCACCAAGTCGGGGCCAGTACTGAAAAGGCCCTAGTTGAGACCAATCTAACCACCTTACGACTTGGGACCACCAAAGTGTTGTCATTTGTGGACCTTAAGGTCCTCCGTGGGGCATACCAGGAGAGGCGGTCCCATAGGTACGTGAGTCCTAGGCCGTATCTCATTTTGCGTGGTGATGATTTACTGAGGCATACTTGTGTTCTTGTGCATTGGCTTAACACTACAAAATAATATTGATACAACTGTAAAGACAATCCTATCAAATGTGCTTTTTGGTTGTGGATGCACAGAGGCTTTTATTTGCAGTGCTTTTTTGGAGGGGTGGGGGGGCAGAAGAATAGCAGGAGAAGGCACCCAATCCACTTCAGCACTCTAAAACCTATATTTACAGGCCTAGTAATGGACACAAATGACTTCCATCAGCAGAAACCCTGTGCAAATACAACAGGGCTCTCTGCTCCCCTTGTCTCCCTGCTCCCTTCTCCAAAACTGGCTCGGGTGTGTGTGTCAGGAGAACCCGTCCCCCCAGAATAGCACACAGGGGTACGATAGGGGCAATCATTTCAGTGGGAATCATGGCATTGAATTCTCCCTTACACATAGAAAAGTGGTCTAGTATTGACTGTCATCTTAGCAGGAGCTGGCTGGCTTCTCCTGGAGAACCTTCTACAGTGGTGCTTCGGGTTACAGACGCTTCAGGTTACAGACGCTTCAGGTTACAGACTCCGCTAACCCAGAAATAGTACCTCGAGTTAAGAACTTTGCTTCAGGATGAGAACAGAAATCGTGGTCCGGCGGCGCGGCGGCAGCGGGAGGCCCCATTAGCTAAAGTGGTGCTCCAGGTTAAGAACAGTTTCAGGTTAAGTATGGACCTCCGGAATGAATTAAGCACTTAACCCGAGGTACCACTGTATATGTAATTAGAAGGCTCACCCTTATTTATGAGCCACCCCTGCATTTCAGCATTTCAGCAAACACAAAGATGTGTGATGGTGTAAACAGATAGAAGTTGGTGGCATGGCATTGCTCAACACTGAGTTCTGCTGCCTGCTACCAACACAGGGAGGCAATGGGGAGCTTAGTGCCATGTCTCTACCTACCCCACACCTGCTGTCACAAATGATGCCAGACATGAGGCAGGTGGGTGTGGTTTGGGGGAAACTGCTTGGCAGGCCAAATTTGGGGCAGAGTTTCTCCATTTCCATTTGAAAAGGTCGAGCGAGTGTTATCCTCATCACTTCAATGTTTGGAATGTGTCTGCTCCTCTCTGTGGGAATTTACCAATAGTGAAAACTTCCTCTTTGCATGAGTCTCAAAATCATAGAAAGATAGTAAGTTATATAAATTTACGGATCTGCTTTGTACTGAAAGATGGGCATCTAAAATTGAGAAGAAAGAGCTTCATCATTCACACTGTGCAGTAACATGGCTCATGTTTCCCATTTCTAGTGTCCTGGATTTATTTTGAACTATCCGCCCCACAAATTGTTAATAGATGATTCCTATTTCTTCCCACATGCAGGTTTCTTTTCCTCGTTGAGCAGCGCAAAGCTTGAAAAACCATGCCTGAACAAAGCAATGATTACAGGGTGGTGGTGTTTGGAGCAGGAGGAGTTGGCAAGAGTTCCTTGGTCCTGAGATTTGTTAAAGGCACCTTCAGAGACAGTTACATCCCTACAATTGAAGACACCTACAGGCAGGTGATCAGCTGCGATAAGAGCATATGCACTTTGCAGATCACTGACACAACAGGGAGCCATCAGTTTCCTGCCATGCAGCGTTTGTCTATTTCCAAAGGACACGCTTTCATTTTGGTCTACTCCGTCACCAGCCGGCAGTCCTTGGAAGAACTCAAGCCTATCTATGAACAGATCTGCCAAATCAAAGGGGATATAGACAGCATCCCAATCATGCTGGTGGGGAACAAGAACGACGAGGACCACAACCGAGAGGTACAGACCAACGATGGAGAAGCCCTGGCCAAAAAGTGGAAGTGTGCCTTCATGGAGACCTCTGCCAAGATGAACCACAATGTGAAGGAGTTGTTCCAGGAGCTGCTGAACCTGGAGAAACGCAGGACTGTGAGCTTACAGATTGACGGCAAAAAAAGCAAGCAACAAAAAAGGAAAGAGAAGCTGAAAGGCAAATGTGTCATTATGTGAAAATAGCACTATCTCGGAGCTGCCATCTAGACTCCTTCTTCTGACTGTACCATGTTTCAGACCTGTACACAATGGAAAAAAACAAACATGTGAGACTGTTTTATTAATAGCTGTTTTGAAAATATACCAGAAGTAAACAGTTGTGTGGAGTGAAAGCGCTACCAACCTCTCAACCCTTTTATAAATTAGACATTTAACAGCAGCGGCAGCAAAGCAGTTACCAGAAGAAGAGCGATGTCTCTTTTCAAGAGAATAGAAAATGAAATATCCACAACTAAGTACTCCCGCCGGTATCGTTGCCACTATGTAAAGATGAGGAGCTGTTAGTTTAAAATTTTATGCTAATGCTATATGTAGAATTAATGAAAGATGTATTTATCTACAAAAATATATATTTGGAAGTAGAACTAAATTTAGGGTTAAGTTAACATAGCTTTCCTGGATTGCAAGTTTATTCTCTTACACTGAATTGTGCTCTATTCTTCACATCCTTTATGATACTGATGAACACTGAACTAAGATGTCCCCCCCCCCACCTTTGTAATTTTCCTAGTGCCCCTGATTAAATATCAAGGCCTCAGTGACACCAGGCAGCACCAAATATTATTCTCTCCCATGGGATTAATAATCTGACTACCTCCCCTTTGCGAATAGATCTAACATTGCCGATTAGCTGTTCTGAGTAGTATGACAATTATCTGGTATGAGGATGCAAGGGGAGAGGAAATGTTTTTGACCCAGGGGTGAAATCTATAACACTCAATTTGCCAGATATTTCTTTTATTTTTATCTTATAATACTGAAGTAGACTCATTACATCTGACTCTCCAAAGGATTCATAGCTGATATGGGTATCAGTTGAATTAGTCGCATGCACCTGTAAACACCCCCCCATTTTTTTATTCTCAGCAAACATCAGATAGGCTAAGAGAAATCAGGTATTTTCTGTGAGGACAGAAAAATTTGATCCCAGTACTCATCCCTGCTCCTTTAAGCTGGAGGGCTGGGGACAGTCCCTGAAGAGTGGGGATATATGATAAGACACAGGTTTCCAAATCCAGCCTTCCCACATGTCAGTTGTGGCATCAGGGAGTAGAACAGAATTACCTGCATCTCATATGCTGACAGGTGCGGGTTCAGGATGGGCAACGGATGGACTTAGTATGGTTTGCGAATCTTGAATGACAGGGCAAAACCTCTGTGCCAAATGACATTTTCATTACAGTACAGTGGTACCTCGGGTTACAAATACTTCGGGTTACAGACTCCGCTAACCTGGAAGTAGTACCTCAGGTTAAGAACTTTACCTCAGAATGAGAACAGAAATCGCGTGCTGGTGGCAGCAGGAGGCCCTATTAGCTAAAGTGGTACCTCAGATTAAGAATGGTTTCAGGTTAAGAACTGACCTCCGGAACGAATTAAATTCGTAACCAGAGGTACCACTGTACATGCGTCAAAGCAAGATGTTGCTGCTGTTTTTTAATTAAAAGCTGCATCGTGAAGAGAATGAGCTACTTTGAAGCAGAACATATTAACATTTTGGCAAGTGTGTGTATCAAAAGCTGGAAAATGCAATTAAGTATCTTTAAAAATAGCACGCACGTTACATTTCAAATGTCACCCAAAAGCTACTTAAAGGCATCCTTCGCATTGGAATACGCATTGCTCACAAATACTTTAATGCTGTGAACCCTTTAATCCTTGCACCCCCTTGCCTGAATACAAAGAGAATTGCAGACAAGCAGATGCCTGCAATATGAGACCACAGTTTATGCCCGTTTACCTTTCATGGTCCAAGGAGAAATAAGTAGGTGAGACTTAACAAGGCCTGATGCACCAAGGGTGAATACAGGATCCCTTTATGGACATTTGACCCTTATGGGACAAATGTGCATTTAGAGGGTGTGGCATTACATCAGCAGGCCCCACCCCTGACTGCCACACATCCATTTGAACTAGAGCTGTGCCCCAAAATTTAGAAATTTCTTTTTGATCATTTGTTGGGTGGCAATGGAATCAATTTCAAACCAAAAAAGACCCCAACCCTGTGCCACTCACAGAAGTGCAGTTTCTCTCTGTAGTTTCCCAGAATGCCTTGGGAACAAGGCCATGTCACAACCTGTCGCTCCCAGGGCATTCTGGGAAATGTGGCCTGAGGGAAACTGCCTAAGGCTTTCTCCAAAATATCTTGCCGGCAAGGTAAGGGACAGTTATCTCTCAAAAGGTTTGGAGGAAATCCTCTTTTTTCCCACTTTCCCCCTGGACAGTGGCAAAAAATCAGCCCCTGCTTTAACGGCAGGAATATTTTCAGGAATCTGGGAGAAATGTCAGCTCAGTCTTAATCTGAACATCTGTCAAGAGTATACACATGTAGGTGCACAACCTCTTTGCTGATATTCACATAAACACAAAGTATGTTGTGTATTTGCTCTAGATTAAATGTCTATGGAGATTAATTTTAGGTTCTGAAGAGATGCAAATGGTTTTGACACCCATCCAGTGGGATCTGAAGCTTTTGTTTTCAGTTTTCAGTCTATTGAAATGGCTTCCTTCACATGTAGAATAGATGGGTTGAATCCAACAAGTTTCCTTCTCCAGAGGAAGCAAACTACTAGATCCATTTGGGTGACTTCACCCAAAGAATGTACCCAAAAGCAAGTTTCTTTCCCCTTTCCTCTCCCCCCCTCTTGATTTCACAGAATTGGGATTACTCCTAGAAGCAGGCATTTTAAAACCATTTCTGATTGCATGCAAGACGTTTGTCTCATTTTCTGCTGAGTGAGTCCTCTTTCTAGCTGTCAGAAAATCCAACAGCATTGAGCCAGGCAATAATTCAATACGTAACCACATAATTGGTCTGTTCAGCCTTCAAGCCAGCGCTTTGGCAAAGGTTTTCATCTTTTCCATTTGGGATTCGATTAAGAAAAGTGACAAACCAAAAGAAAGACGTATTATGTGAGACATCATGTAGCTGGATGTTAAAAAATAACAGGCTATATGCAGCCTTTGAAGTGAATGGGCATCTTGAATAGGACTCTCAGGACTAACTTATGAAAAGCATCAAAACTCCAGGGGGATTGACTTGTGGCTGGCTGTGGCCATCCACTCGGAGCTGATATGTTTCTTAACTGAGGTCCATGGAAGCCGAATAGTCCAGCTCCAACCCATTTGAGGCCTTTCCTTGCTGGCATTTACTTTCTCCATCCCAAGCAATAGAAAATCCTGAAAATCTCCACAGAGAGGCAGCTAGCTAGTTGGATAAAGTATTCCATCTTTGGAAACTGCATGGGCTCCAAAGTCTCCCACGGTAAATCAATGCCCCTCTTTGGAATTTAGAGGCTGCCTTTAGCGTGAATTGCTCTCCTGGTCCTCTTCTAGGTTTCAGCTCCTTTCCCAGGGTTTCTGTTTTATTTCTTTGCTATTTCTTTATTTATTCTACCCATTTAAATTGCCTAAGAAAGCTGGAGGTACCAACAGACCCTCCAAGTGTCCCTGTTTTCCAGGGACAGTCCCAGTTTCTGATTTGACCCCAGAATGTTCTGCTTTTCCTTAGGACGTCCTTATTTTTACTAGAGAAATACTAGAGGGTATGGTAGGACATCCCTATTTTTGTTGGAGAAATGTTGTAGGGTATGGAGTTATGTGAACCCCGAGCCAAGGAGATAAGTAACTACACAACCTTCAGAAGACATATAAGGCAGCCATGTGTAGGGAAGTTTTTAAATGTTTTATTATATTTTTATATATGTTGGAAGTTGCCCAGAGTGGCCAGGGCAACCCAGTCAGATGGCTGGGGTATAAATTATTATTATTATTAGATGCACTTTCTTGGGGGTTTTGTTCTTGGTTGGGTTTAATATAGAGACTGTTGTGTATATTATTTTTGTTATTATTTGAATAAAGGTAAAGGGACCCCGACCATTAGGTCCAGTCGTGACTGACTCTGAGGTTGCGGCGCTCATCTTGCTTTATTGGCCCAGGGAGCCGGCGTACAGCTTCCGGGTCATGTGGCCAGCATGACCAAGCCGCTTCTGGTGAACCAGAGCAGTGCACGGAAACGCCGTTTACCTTCCCGCTGGAGCGGTACCTATTTATCTACTTGCACTCTGATGTGCTTTCGAACTGCTAGGTTGGCAGGAGATTATTTGAATAGGACGCACCTATTTTATCATCAGATACATTTTGGAGGGTATGCAGTAACAATGCAAATGAAACAACAGTCCAACCAACTAAGGGGAAAAAACCCCAAGAAAGTGGGAATATATGCACAACATCTAATGGCAATGAATTAACCTGGACACTAAGGGAGCACACAGTGTACAGCCAGCCATTTCATCTACTGCAGCAACAGAAGTATCTTTTGAACTTCTGATAATTTATTGTAGGGCAATTGTGTTTTTCTCCTATATCTTGAACCAAATAAACATACACTTTCCTGGTTTTAAATTGACTGGAGGCAGGTGGTTTTGCACAGGAACTGAAGGTGGGGTTTGGACAGTGATCCTTGGCATGCAAATCAGGGCATTAGAAACATGCCTGTTTTTGCAGTATCAAAAGGTTGGCGAGTATATAACAAAGAGCAAGCCTGCAGGATACCGTTGTCCCAGAACAGCCAGTAATATATACCTTTTACAAATGCACAGAATCCCCAAAGAGAAAGCTGTTACAAAGCCTTCTTAACTTCATTGCAGCTTATATAATGTGAAGGAAGGTTTGCCTAATCCCTAAATGCAGCCAGTGATTGCAGTCCTAATCCATTTGCACCCATGAAACCTAAAGAATCAAATTTAGACATCTAACTTGCCTAGTAAAAAGCTATTTCAGACACATAAGGCTCTGGCAAACAATTCACTGTTACATGTATGGATAATATCTTTTTGTTTCTTGTTGACCCCACACTCCAAACAATATAATAAGCCATGACTATGTTTTATCGCCTTGCATTTATCTGTGCAGGGCTAGTATAGAAGCAATATTTATTCCTGGACCAGTAATTCTAAGGTGGATATATTTTATATTGTACCCTTCCGTTGTCCTTGTAATTTATAATAGATTTTACATACATGTGAGTTTATCAAAATATTTGTTTTGCTATAACTGGTATAAGGTGGGGTGGGCTTTTTTTTTGATAGATGGAAGAAACTCTTAGTGGGGGAAATTAGTTGTACAGTTTTATTCCAGTTTGTGGTTTATTTCCAAGTGTGATGCTAATAGACATGAGATATTTGAAAATGTACACACACACACACACAATGACATGTTTAAAACTTTCAAGGAATTTCAGCATCATGAAAACATAATATGGACACGTATGCTATTCACAAAGCATGGATTTTATATAAGTGCATAAGCTAAGCTATATAGTTATCATTCAGATGTATTTATTGTTGCAGTTTCATTATATCTAATATTTTATTCAGCCACAGTTAACATGTAATTTGTGCCTACAAGTTTCTATGTTTCCCGTGATATTCTGTATATAAGGTATACAAAATAAACGTTTTAAGTTACAAATATTAGCCTTTGTCTTTTGAATTGTTTGAACAGTTGGAGTAGTTGGGGACATGGGCATCAAAATAATCAGCAGCTCCTACCAGTATTGCTCCTTTGTTGAGAGCATCAACAGAGGCCAATCCCCAGGTATCCTAATATCTGAAGTGGCAGAGTTGATGGCTGGGATAAGGACTTCCTTGACAGGTCCTCTAACCTTCACCAGGCTGGTGGTGTTACGGCCTGGTCACTGCGCATGTCCTTGATCCTCGCAGTATTCCTGGATGTGGCCATTGTTTGGTCCAATTTGCTTGAGAGGCAGAAATGGCATAAGAGTCCATACCCAGCAGGCATTAATCGGGCCAGAAAGAAAGCAGTGCATGAATGGCAGGTTGATTTGGCACCCCGGCATTACATTTGACCAGGTGAAAAGAAAGAGGTAAAGGACCCTGGACGGTTAAGTCCAGTCAAAGGCGACTATGGGGTGTGGCGCTCATCTCTGCTTTCAGGCAAAGGGAGCCAGCGTTTGTCCACAAACGGCTTTCCAGGTCATGTGGCCAGCAGGACTAAACCGCTTCTGGCACAACAGGATACCGTGATGGAAACTAGAGCGCACGGAAACGCCATTTACCTTCCCACCACAGTGCTACCTATTTATCTACTTGCACTGGCGTGCTTTCGAACTGCTAGGTTGGCAGGAGCTGGGACAGAGCCACGGGAGCTCACCCCATTGTGTGGACTCAAACTACCGACATTCCAATCAGCAAGCCCTAGAGGCTCCGTGGTTTAGACCACAGCGCCACCCGCTCCCTGTTTAACCAGGAGACCTTATATCACAACAGTGGGGTGCATCTACCTGAGTTAGGCAACCAGATTTGGCTAGACAATCTAGTCGAGAGCAGAAAGGGATGTGAAGGGGTTGGCAGCAAGCCTTGACTGTTTCAACTGGTGGTTAGGCATTCGGTAAGCCTAAGTCTTGGCTGGAGGGAAAGTTGTAGCCTCTGTCTGCTCCTCCTTGCTTAACGGTATCCTGTTAAAGGGATCTGTGAGGAGTTGTTTGTGTCTGACATCCAGGCGAGGGCTAGGGCCATAGCACTCATCAAAGAGGACCCCTTGGGGGTACCCCTATTTGATGTAAGCCATAGGGCTCCCCACAAAATGTGCTTTACCCTTAGATACACTCCCAGCAGATGGGCTGACTAAAGGGCTTCACTCAATGCCTATGCCCAACCTTTCAGATCTGTAACAATGACCGCTCCGCACATTAAATGGGGGGCAACCTTTGTGTGTTGCGCGCAGCCCCTGGACCCTATGCGGCACCATTAGCACAGACTTGGCTTTGCCTTCCCCAGGTGGGATACCTGGAGGTCTCTGCCTATCTCAGTCAGTTGCTCAATCCCACCCGGAGAGGCGTTGCCAAGGTGATCAGGCCAGGTAGGGGGAGGGACAACCCTACCCACACAATAGGGGGAGGATCTTACCTGGGAATCCAGAGCTTCTCCCACCCTATCCACCCTCAGTTAAGACTTCTTTTGCAGGTTAACCTTTTCTCCACAGGTATGCGGGCGCTGCTACGTCAAGGTTGCTGTTGAAGGGCCGGAAAGGAATTCTCCTGCATTGGCAGGTTTGCCTTCCCCATAGCTAAACGTCACAGTATCAGGCCTTGGGCGGAATCCTTTAGTCTATCTTCCCTAAATGGGGGAGGGTGTGCAGCGGTGACCCACGCCCCTCCTCTTTGCAGCAGGGCTCCCCGTTAAAGGGGTTGTTTTGAGGGGAGGCTTTGGCCATACTCCTAGAGGTTGTCATTGCTCTCTCCTGTGACGGCGGTGTAACGGGGGCGGGCTCTCTCTGCTTGAACATATGTTCTCCAGAGCCAGCCCATCTCCCTCCAGCCTCTGGATAACCCTGATGCTCCCCAGATACCCGGCAGGGGACTGGGAGGGATAAACGCCCAATGCCTGAGCCAAGGTCTCCCCACATCTGAAAAATAATAAAGTTGTGGCTGTACAGGTTAAAGTTAAGGATAGATTAAGATTAAAGATCAAGATTAAAGATGTTTAAAGAAATGGAAATTTGATAATAAAAGGGAAAAATTTAAAGGTATATGACATTAAGAACAAGGATTAGGTTTAAAAAAGTTGAAGTTATATATTTTAACACTTTATTAAATTAAAGATTGGGTTTAAAAAAGTGGAAAAGAAACTGCTGGACAAATAATGTGGATTGGAATACAAAAGAGGGAGGTATGAGGAAGTCCAGAAAATAAGTAATTTAAAATTGGAGATGAAAAAGAGAGTTTGTTTTTAATTGTTACGTTTTGTGTTTTTATTGTTAAATTTTGTATTTTTTTTGTGTGTGTGTGTGTGTGTGTTGTTTTTCTTTTTTCTTTGTTTAAAACCTTAATAAAAAATTATTTAAAAAAAAAAGAAAAAAAAAAGAAAAATAATAAAGTTGTGGCCAATTTTAATCCCATAGCACGTTGTCTTGATTCATTATTCCGCACGGGGGCTGCCCAGGGTTTGGGGGACTCGGCCTGTCCACGCAAATCAAGTTGTGGCCTATTTGAACCCAAATCTATATGCTGCTATCTTGCATGGTTATTCGTTACATAGGGAGCAATGGGGTCACAGGGCCTTGGTATGCCACAGTGCCTCTATAAGGCATACTCTTCCTATGGCTGCTCACCAGGCCCCTGGCTTGATGAGTTGAAAATGCCAACCCAAAAATATTTCATCTACCTGTGTTTTGAATGCTCAGTAAAGTTGCTTCTGCTGTTTTAAGGTTTATTTATATTTGAGCACTGAATTGTTTTAGCATAATGTGTTGCATCCATTATTGACATTCTGTGGAAGAATATTTTATTCAAGAGGAGCTGCCATTAATGGAAGAAGAGGCACACCATCTTCCAAGCTGTTCCGGAGAGTTCCGCAAGCATTTGCCACCGATTTTCAGGGGTGCAGGGATGTTTGTGTGTGGATTAGCAAAAATTGCCTCCCTTTTCTTTCATCAGTGGAGGCCTCCACTAGACTGAATACAATGAAAAAACACTGGAAGCAGCATTATTAAAAGAAGAAACAAGCAACAAAGGAGAAATAGATAAATCAATAAGATCAGTGGGGTTGTTTTGTTTTTTTAATGAAGCCACTAAAAACCAATGACCTTCCTAAAAAAGGTCTCTCCATACTGGCAGAAAACCACTAGGGAAGTGAATAGCTTGGCTTTCCTTCTGAATAAAGAACAGCTGGGGAAAGCATTAGACTAGATCATTGCCCTATCGCTAGGGGCAATCCATACCAAAACAGATTTTCTTGGCCTGACTCACCCCTGGCTAGGGATGTGAAGATCTGTCCATTTCAGTTTCTTTCCACTTCTCATTTCCACATCACCTTGCTTTTTCTTTTTTTTAAAAAAAGTGCTCACAAAAATTCTCACAATCTTAGTGCAAATTTCTCCTAATGCAGACATTTTGTATGCAATTTTGTCTCTCACATTTCCCCCCAAAGCAATTTCCCCCAATATACTTCATGCTTGCATGTTATTTTCATGAATATATTTTAATGCACACCATATTCTAGTATATGTCTTTGTACCCATTACTATGCTGAAAAAATGGCTTGGGAGGGGGGAGGTTAGCCATCTGCTAAGGTCAAAGTTATATATTAAGGGTTGGTGGATAGGCACTGCCAATCTGTGTCTCCCTGATCAAATGTTATCGAAAGAATCATTCCACAGAGCGTGTGGCAACAACTGTACATGTGCTAGGAGCTACAAGGAAGTGAGGAAAAATAAAACTGAATTTAAGTCTCCTCTTGTCTTATTGTATGTCTCCTAAGAATGTGTATTTTGTGCCTTAAAAAGTACAAATCAGAAGTTGACAGACACTTATTTTTAGCAACCTAGGCACAGTCTGATGTGGCAACAACATCCTGTCTGGCAAGAGGTCTATGAATGAAGCCTCTCTATAAATGGGTTGTGCTGTAGCTTAATCACTCAGACGAGCTTGATCAATTAGTAACTTTGACATGATAGCAAAGAGAAACAAATGCTGCTATGGTTAACTTGCAAAACAGATAGCTGAAGGTTTTCTCATTGTAGAATCGGTTCTGTTCATGCATGTGAATTTCTGCACTATCGGCATGACATTGTCATCAAAATGCCAGCCCATGGTGTTTTGTATTTTGATGGGTAATCCATATTTCCATACCTGTCCTTCCATTTGTTCCTCACCTCAGCATAAACCAGCCATTTTGCTTCTTGCAGACTAGAAGGTACAAGGCTGGCTTTTGTTTCAGCTGGAACACACTAGAACTCACTTCTGGCACCTCTCAGGTGGGTGCCATTGCCATTATAAGAGAACAAAGGAAGTATTCATGGTGAGTTCCGGCACCTCTTTTTCTTAAATAATAATAATAATAAATAATAATAATTTATTTGTATGCCACCCATCTGACTGAGTTTCTCCAGCCACTCTGGGCGGCTCCCAACAGAACATTAAAACAGAATAAAACTTCAAACATTAAAAACTTCCCTAAACAGGGTTGCCTTCTGATGTCTTCTAAAAGGCAGATAGTTATTAATTTCCTTGACATCTGATGGGAGGGCATTCCACAGGGCGGGCGCCACTACCGAGAAGGCCCTCTGCTTGGTTCCCTGTAACCTCACTTCTTGGCACTCGAATGTACAAGAGTGTAAGCTTCCAGTTCCCACATGCTTTAAGCCGTTTACATACTGTCTTCTCTTGTACATCATATACGACAAAGGTATGCTTCAATTATGCATTCTCAAAGTATTTTTAGTTTTAATTTTCCTTATTCTACTTGTTAATCGGGTGCAACTCTGTTCCAGTAGATTCTGATAGCTCGATGACTAAGGTATTTAGCAACGAAACATTGTATTACCAGAATGATGTCCAAGCACTGAACCACTAGTATATCACAAATGAACTCTTTATTTACTGTGTTTGCTATTGTTTAAGATTTTGGAAAGAAACTACTTTTGCCATTTTTGTGGATGTTTATTGTTGCCTACAGATAGTTGCCACGCTGATATTATCTTGTGTTGATTTCAGTAGTCATTGTATCACTACCCACTGTTTTACTGACATGCTGAAAGCTGACATTTCAACAACCCAGTTCAGAGGAGCTATTTTCTCAACATATGTAAAAGATTACCTTTGAGACTGTGGCCCTGTAGATGCGGTTGGACTACAACTCCAGTTATCACTGACCATGGGCCAACCTGGCCAAAGAGGATGGTAGTTAGATTCCAGCAACATCTGGAGGGTCAGAGGTTTCCCATCTCTGCTGTAGAACGTAACCATTTGATTAAGATAAACGAGACTCTTCAAGGCAATGGACTACAGTCTACTACAGCATTCTGCAGGACAGAGTATGATGCATGGGATTGTCCTGTAAGAGCTGTTTGACCTAGAACAGACTCCCTTGGGAGGCTGTAGACTCTCCTTCATGGGAGGTTTCTAAGCAGAGGTTGGATGGTCATCTGTCATGGATGTTTTAGCTGAGATGCCTTCATTGGAGGGGGCTGGACTAGACAATTCTCAGGATCCCTTCCAACTCTACAATTCCAGGTAGGGATAATATTTATCTAGGGATGTGGGTGGTGCTGTGGTCTAAACCACTGAGCCTCTTGGCCTTGCTGATTAGAAGGTTGGTGGTTCAAATCCCTGTGACAGGGTGAGCTCCCGTTGCTCTGTCCCAGCTCCTGCCAACCCAGCGGTTCGAAAGCACGCCAGTGCAAGTAGATAAATAGTTTCCGCTGTGGCGGGAAGGTAAATGGTATTTCCGTGCGCTCTGGTTTCCATCAGTGTTCCGCTGCACCAGAAGCGGTTTAGTCCTGCTGGCCATATGACCTGGAAAGCTGTCTGTGGACAAATGCTGGCTCCCTTGGCCTGAAAGTGAGCTGAGCGCCACAACCCGATAGCCGACTTTGACTGGACTTAACCATCCAGGGGTCGTTTACCTTTACCTAATATTTACCTGCCCTGTGCTACTGAAACCTAATTGCGGAGCTCAGCAGCCTCTCTCTGAAAGAAAAGCATGCACTGTGTGAGTTAACTGGTGCACTGGTGCTGTGAATGCAGCCCAGACCACCAGATATGACGGGATAGCCTGCCCACTTCTTAAGTTTCATGTCGATACTGTAAGACCAATGTGTGCTAGATCAGGAGGCATGTAATGCAGTATCTCGATCACTTGATATATAAATAGTTTCTTCCATGATTTAGCTCAATCCTAGACATTTAAAGCTGCAAAGTAGCCTGTGCCAGAATGTAACAGGTGGTGTTTTACAACTGAACAACAAGTGCTGTTAGCAGCTTAATCTCAGAAACACCGTATTTAAGGGAGCATCCCTACCTACACCAAACATTTATCCTAAAACATATTATTTAAGTGTGGGATGGAATATCACAGCGGTAGACTCTGCAATTGTCTTTCATTGCTGCCAGAGATTTTTTTTTTTTTGCCAGTGCCATAAAATTATAAGAGTGGTTAACTTTAACATGTTTCATCTTACTTGTACTAAGTAAACAAAGCTAAAAACACGGAAACTGCCAAGCTCGCCAAATATTTATTTGCAATCGGCATCCAATTGCATTCTAATAAGTTCTTGCAGTTTGACCATCTCAGCCTGGCAATGTCTCTTTGAAAACCTAAAGTAGGATCTGGTTGTATTTGTTGCGACAGTTTTTCACACACAAACAGCTTTATTGCAGTCCATAGACCCAAAATACACAGTACAGCAATAGTATACATCAACAGTTATTCAGGTGTAAGATCGCTAAGAGAAAATTATATGAAAATGATATATCGATGGTCTCTAACACCGAGTAAATTGGCAAAAATGTATAAATCTAAATCAAATAAGTGTTGAAAATGGAAATACAAAGAGGGTTCTTTTTTATCATATGTGGTAGTCTTGTAGTAAGGTTATAGATTACTGGGAAATGATATATAATGAATTGAAAAGGATGTTTAAAATAACCTTTGTAAAAAAAACCAAAAAAAAAAAAACCACAACAAAAAACCTCAGAAGCTTTTCTTTTGGAAATTATAGGGACAGAACTACCTAAACTGTATAGAAACTTATTCGTGTATGCTACTACAGTGGCAAGAATGTTTGTTGCCCAAAAATGGAAAGAAGAAGAAGTCCCAGTGAAAGAAGAATGGATATAAAAACTTATGGAATATTGAGAAATGGCGAAACTTACTGGAAGAATAAGAAATCAAGACAGCAAACTTTTTATAAAAGAATGGAAATGGTTTATTGGATATTTAAAGATAAATTGTAAACAGATAAGAACATTGGCAGGATTATTGTAATAACCTGAAGTTTTATAAGAGTATATATTTAAAGTAGATGAATAAATGAGCAAATTAAGTTAATTTGGATATGCAGAAGGTATTAAACATAAATTTAAGGAACCACAGAAAGAGGGAGAAGGAAGTCAAGTTTTGAAATGTTAAAATGATTGTAAAATTAGTGAAATGTAGAAATCTGAAAAGCGTAAATAATATATTTTTTTAAAAAAATAAGGTGTAAGTTCGGCCTTCCTACAGAGGAGCTTTGGCCTGTACATACTGATTTCTGATTTTTACTGCCTCTGAGAGGAATTTTGCTACGGCCAGTGTAACAATATCAATCTCATCCTCAATCTTATCCTCAAGAAGAACCTTGACATCAAAAGAATCGGCAATTCCAGCTTATTCTGTTAATATTGGATTGATTAGATGCTGCCTAACCTGTTTATACAGACTACAGTGTAATAAAATGTGCTTCATACATTCAGCATCCTGGGAACATGGACACAGCCTTGCTTGGTATGGGACACCAGCCAATCTTCCGCTCAGATGGGAAGACCTGCTGCAAAACAATATTTGACAAGGTCTTCTCTAAGAATGCTGAAATCACTGGAATTCTGCTGATGTGTGCAATGATGTCATAAAGCTGCCTATTGGTCCTGAGTGTTCTTGATTGCCGAGGTTCAACGTGGCTTCCTCATAAATCACATTTTTCTTCCCAGGGAAACCATCAGGAAGGCCTCCAACACTTCACCATACAGAGTTTGGTGCATAGCTGTCAACTTACAGATATGAAAATAAGGGACCAGCAGCCTCGAAAATAAGGGATCAGCAGCCAAAATAAGGGATTTGCCCAGCACAGGTATGTTCAACTTCTGAGCCCCTCCGAGCTAAAGGCAGAAAACCCAGCCAGCAGCCAAACGAAGCCTCAAGCGGTGGTTCCCACAGCGCAGCAACCCGGCAAAGGGGACGCAGCAAGGAAAACCACCGTCACCTCTCCGCTGGGAAGCGCTGAGCAAAGGCGAGTCCCCAGGCAACATGGCCGATTTGATCGGCACAAGGCATGCAAGCTCCACCCCCCAGTCGTTCTTAGACTCCTTATTGGGTGAGCAACGCAGCCAAGCAACACAACTGAAGCTTCCCTCCTCCCTGGCCGGCAGGCAGGGAGGGAGAGGAGCTGCTTCCTTTAAAACCTGGGAAATTTAAGGGACATCATCAATAAGGGACAGCAGCGGGACACGGCACTGGGATAAGGGAGTTTCCCGCCAAATAAGGGACGGTTGACAGCTATGGTTTGGTGCTCTTTAGAGAATGATAGTGACATCATGATTTCATTAGCAAGATCCTCTATGGAAGAGATTAAAATACTAACTTGGTAAGCCTGAGGTTTTGTAGGCAACTGAGAGACTTCTCTTTTGTAGGCAACTGAGAGACTTCTCTGAACAACATGAAGTCCATTATAGGCCTGCAATATGGTGGTGCAATCTTGAATGGTTTCCTTCTGTTTGGGACAGGACTATGTTGTGATGTGGTGTCAGGGCCTGCAGCAGCCTTGTGTTACATTAGCCACTTTCTAGTGCTCAGAGACGTGGGTGGCACTGCGGTCTAAACCGCTGAGTTTCTTGGGCTTGCCGATCAGAAGGTTGGTGGTTCGAATCCCTGCAACGGAATGAGCTCGCATTGCTCTGTCCCAGCTCCTGCCAACCTAGCAGTTCAAAAGCATGCCAGTTGGCAAGTAGATAAATAGGTACCGCTATGGCAGGAAGGTAAATGGTAAGGTAAGCCAGAAGCGGCTTAGTCATGCTGGCCACATGACCTGGAAGCTGTACGCCGGCTCCCTCGGCCAATGAAGCGAGATGAGCACTGCAACCCCAGAGTCGGCCACGACTGGACCTAATGGTCAGGGGTCTCTTTACCTTTAGCACAGGGAAGCTGGTTCTTTCTAGAAGGGCTTCTGGAATGTGCTGTTGTTTCCTCTGACAATCCCTAAAAAGAAAAAGAAAAACGAAAAACAGGAGCCCATTCTTTCTGAGGTGTTTTCAAAATCAGGATGACACTTCCCAGAGGTTGCAGAAACTGAGTTGTTCTGAAATACTGCAAGATTAGAAATGATGAATTTTCACCTAGGCTGAGCATGTCTTATGAACTAGCAATTTCTGGATTACAACTATCTCATCGGCAGCTTTAGCCGCATACGGGGGGGGGGGGGGAGGCAATTTATTACTTTTCTGTGTAATAAGCATTTGAGGTAGCTTTACCTGCAATAAAGAATGAGATGACTGTGCCAATATTATGCTTCAATTTATACAAGGTCCTGCCATCCAGTATGATTAACAGTCTTGCAACAGAGAGTGGATGGAATAATCAGCTAATTGAAAAGAGTGGTGAGTTCTGTTACAAAACTTCGGTTCCGTCCATTATGCTAAGTTTGCGCATGAACTTTGAGAGTGTTAATGATTAGTATTAAAAGAATAGTAAGTGCTTATTGTAAAAACTTCTTTTCAGGGTTTCTTTACCCTAAATTTAATCCTATATATACTTACCTGGTAGTAAGTCCTACTGAACCTACTTCTGAATAGACATAACATACATAGGGTTGTGCTGTTGATTTCTGCTCAGTATACCTTTATTTATAATGCATGTAATTATAGGGGTAATTGCACCTATAGTTGCAAAAATGCAACAAGCAATGGCAATGAGGGGCAATCATACTTTGATGATCAGTTGCCAATGCTTTGTGAATGTGTTCACCAAGGAGAAAAGTACACACAGATTAACAACCATATTATCAAAAACCTTCGGTTTCTGTTACCAGAAATAAAACTGGTGGGGGTCACTGATGTTCCTAATCTCCTGGTTTGGTATATGAATTTCACCCAGCTGATATTGCTAAATCATAGCATGAACCAGGAGCCATGTTCCTTTTAAGTTCTTCTCGGACCGGGATTGTTAAATGAGATTCTGCACATAGCACAATAAAGCTTTCAGCAGACCAGCTGCACAAAGCTAAGTGCTACGGAGCACGCAGAGAAGTGTATTCAGGTTAATCCATTTTCTTTATTGTTAAGTGTGTCATAGATTGCTGGGTACTAGACTGCCCACATAAACAGCCTTTTGTTTGAGTATCTCCTCTGTTTGGATCAATAATCTTGACTGTTTCTTGCAGACATTTAATGTGGCTTTTGCCCTTTCTCCAGACTTAAGCTCTTACCTCTCCCTGGGTGGGTTGGTTTGGAGTAAGGATATTGAATTTCCAAGTATCTCTCTGTTGTGGTTGATGCAATGGGGTAGGTGCAGGGCAGTTAAAACCAAGGTGCTGTGGGTTAAACCACAGAGCCTAGGGGCTTGCCGATCAGAAGGTCGCCGGTTCGAATCCCCATGACGGGGTGAGCTCCCGTTGCTCGGTCCCTGCTCCTGCCAACCTAGCAGTTCGAAAGCATGTCAAAGTGCAAGTAGATAAATAGGTACCACTCCAGTGGGAAGGTAAACGGTGTTTCCGTGCACTGCTCTGGTTCGCCAGAAGCAGCTTAGTCATCCTGTACACCGGCTCCCTCGGCCAATAAAGCGAGATGAGCGCCGCAACCCCAGAGTCGGTCACGACTGGACCTAATGGTCAGGGGTCCCTTTACCTTTATATAATTCTCAAAGGTCAATACTGTAAGACACATCTTTCCACATTCTGGACAAGAAGCTCAAGAAGAAAGGTAGGACACCACAGAGAGATCCAAAATAGCAATAGGAATGGAAATTATTTTTGCAGGGTCATAGCACCCCTTCAAGGTTCACTCCTTGCTTAAAGGAGCAGCCACCATGCCCCTCACTTGGTATTCATTTTCTTGGACAGTGGTACCTTGGTTTACAACCATAATCCGTTCTGGAGGTCCGTTTGTAAATCAAAACAGGTTGTAACCCAAGGCGCGCTTTCGCTAATGGGGCCTCTAAAAAAATTTGTTCGTAATCCAAAATAATAATAATAATAATGGGTTGCAATAAAAAGAAACGTTTGCAAACCAGGACATGCACTTCCGGGTTTGATGTGCTTGTAATCCAAAACGTATGCAAACCAAGTCGTATGCAAACCAAGGTACCACTGTATTGTATCACCTTACAGGTAGAGTGATGAGATGGCATGGAAATGCAAAGCGTTCCTGGTGTGGAAAGGGATGGTTTTGTAGAAAATGCAAGTTTGGAGGTTGCTGAATCTGGTGGTCCCAGTTCTGGGTTTCTGCCTCAAAGAGCTCCAGTGTGATAGATAGGTTCAGTCTATATGACTCACGTCCAGAAAAACAGATGGTAAAGGGCTTATTCCTCCTACACTCAAATTATGCCATTAAAAGCCATGGCCTGTAGTAATATCTATAGAGATTTATACTTGTATATGAAGTTCATTTCGCTGTAGCAGGTAATTGGCTGTTTCCCATGAGCCTCCATTTTGCATCTCGCTTCCCCCCACCTCAGCCCCTGTTCTGTACCTGGCTCCATTTGGAGGGTCTCAGCGATCTAGAAAAAAACAAAACAAAACAAAGCAGATCTTATAAGCTTGAAGTCTCTTTGCCCTGATCTACTCTTGGTAGCCTCTGAAAACAATACCAAACAAATCATAAAAATAAGCCCTTCATATTTAAAACAGCAAACAAAACTTGAACGAATTTATATGTTCAATCATTTAAATGGGTGCGAGCTCGCATTTGCTTCTGGCAGACCAGTTTTGGAGGAGCTGGATCTCCTAGCATGACTGAAATAATGATGAGTGGCAGGCCCCTGTTTTCCTAAGTTTGTTTCTGTTTCCCCTGCTGTCTGGAATAAGTTCTGCTTTAATGCCCCCATCTGGTTTCTGTGCCTTCTTGAAAACCTTCTTCACACATTTGCAGAAATCTTCTCTGTCTGAGTTAAGAAATGGCTCCTTTCTTATTTTGTTCGAAATAGAACTATGAATGGGCATGCACTTGGTGTGTGCGTGTGTGTGTGTGTGTGTGTGTGTGTGTGTGAAACAATTTCATATGGAATAACTATGTGCACCTTATTTCTTGCTCCCTCTTTCAACGAAACAAGTTAAGACAAAGGCTTGGAAGGTGATCTTAGTGTGTGATGAACTCAGGCATAACAGCACAGTGTGCCACAATCACAACCACTGTTGCCATGTGACGATTCCAGTCCCAACCGCCACAAAACTCACATAAACAAAACTTATGTCTAAATACAGTGGTACCTCAGGTTACATACACTTCAGGTTACATATGCTTCAGGTTACAGACTCCGCTAACCCAGAAATATTACCTCAGGTTAAGAACTTTGCTTCAGGATGAGAACAGAAATCGGGCTCCGGTGGCGCGGCAGCAGCAGGAGGCCCCATTAGCTAAAGTGGTGTTTCAGGTTAAGAACAATTTCAGGTTAAGTGCAGACCTCCGGAACGAATTAAGTACTTAACCTGAGGTACCACTGTAAATTCCAGTTAGAAAACAGCCCCCCCAATACAATACTAGAAATTGTGCTAAGTATAAGAAGCCGTACTCTATAGGCTGCCCCTGTGTCTTATTGTAGAGAAGAAAGCCATCTTCTTTCTTGAAGGAGTCCTCTGTCTGAAAGGTTGCCTGGTCCAGAAAGCCAAGAGATATTCAAGTGTAGTTAAACAAGCAGAATCAGGAAAGCTGTTAGTGGTAAGAAGGTTTATTTCAGAAAATGGAGGTGTTGCCCAAATGAGGAGAGTCACTAGGTTAAAGGCACAACACAGATCCCCACCCTTGAGTTACAGGGATGGCAAGGGAGTCAAACGTGTGTTAAAGGAGCAAAAGGAGACGACCGAGACACTGAGTGAATTCTTTGGATCTTCGTTTTGGAAGATGTAGGACAGATCCCTGTGCCTGTAATTTTCTCAGGAACTGAGGCAAATACTGTTGACAACAGCAAAGTTCTAGGCCTTGCTGACAAACTTAAAAAATAACCAATCATTGAGTTCATATGGCATCTGCCCAAAAGTCATTAAAGAACTTAGATGTGGAGATGCTGATCTTCCAACAAAATTGCCAGAAGCTCGGCGGTTCGAATCCCCATGATGGGGTGAGCTCCTGTGGCTCTGTCCCAGCTCCTGCCAACCTAGCAGTTTGAAAGCACGCCAGTACAAGTAGATAAACAGGTACCGCTGTAGCAGGAAGGTAAACAGCCTTTCCGTGTGCTCTGGTTTCCGTCACGGTGTCCCATTGTGCCAGAAGCTACTGTTAGGTCCATCATGAGATGTCTGCCAGCTTCTAATCACGGATACCAGCAGCCTTCAATCAAGCAAACTTGCCTTATTATTCCTCCTTAGCATCCCACTGCCAGAGGATTGCCTCCTGCCATTCACACTTTTCCTCCTCCAAGTGGAAGAAACCTGGGCAGTGCTGAATGTCACATCCATTGCCAGGTGTGTCCTGCTGGAAACAGAAAAGGGATTTCCCTTGGCCTGCCTGTATATCCACTCAGTTGCCAAGTGCTTTTGTGACATCACAAGAAACCCACAACCAATGGCAACAGCTGGGGAGGCATTGTCTTCATTGCTTTGAGCCTTACAATGGCAGGTGGACCTATCAATGATTGTGTGCTTGTTTATTCAGGACATGGGTGGAGCTGTGGTCTAAACCACTGAGCCTCTTGGGCTTGCCGATCAGAAGGTTGGTGGTTCAAATCCCTGCGATGGAGTGAGCTCCTGTTGCTCTATCCCAGCTCCTGCCAACCTAACAGTTCGTAAGCATGCCAGTGCAAGTAGATATATAGGTACTGCTGCAGAGGGAAGGTAAACGGCGTTTCCATGCACTCTGGCTTCCATCACGGTGTCCCGTTGCACCAGAAGCGGTTTAATCCTGCTGGCCACATGACCCGGAAAGCTGTCTGTGGACAAACACTGGCTCCCATGGCCTGAAGTGAAATGAGTGCCACAACCCCATAGTTGCCTTTGACTGGACTTAACTGTCCAGGGGTCCTTTATCTTTTTTTACCTTAGAATCCTGAAAGGCACCAGCCGTGCAAGAGCTACACGTGTGCAGAGGTGCTAGTGGGGAAGGGGAAGGGGGGACTGTTCCCTCAACAGAGCTGGCCTTATCAAACAGCAGCAATGGCATCAGGCAGTGCAGGGGGAGGGATGGCAAATTTGTGGCTCCCAGACTACTACTCAGTTGTCTCTGCTGGAGTCCCCCTGTGGCTCTCCGGAGCCTTCTCCTGACCCTACTTCATACCACCCCATCCAGCGGAGAGAGTGGTACAGCCTAGATCAGGCATAGGCAAATTCGGTGTTATGTTGTGGGTGAACATATCAGATGACACAGAGATTCTTCAAACAGCTCTTGTTTATTCACAGGCCAGAACAGAACTGAACTGAAGGGTTCAGCCAGCCTGCGTATATAGTGCTCCACTAGAACGCAACAGTAACCATTTTCTGTAACTATCCAATCACTGAACGTTACTTTCAATCCCTTATTTGCATATGTGGACCTGAGTGAAAACTATCTACAGTATCGCCCTGCTGCCCCAGGGTGAGAACTTCAGTACATAACACTCAGGACCAGCGTTCAGGGAGGATGGGAGTTGTAGTCCCAAAACATCTGGAGGGCTGACTTTGCCTATGCCTGGCCTAGAGCATCCTGTTCTCACAGTGACCAAGCGGATGGCCGTGGGAAACCCGCAAGCGGGATTTGAGCACAGGAGTGCTCAAACCCTCCTGTGGTTTCCAGCAATTGGTATTCAGCAGCTCTAGTGCCTCCAGTGTGGAGTCAGAGCAGAGCCGTCATGGCAAGTAGCCTTCAAAAGTCCTCCATGAATTTCTCCAATTCTCTTTTAAAGCCATTACCTTCTCTGGTCGGGGTGAGTTCCATAGTTTAACTATATGCTGTATGAAGAAGTATTTTCTCCTATCTTTGCTTCTTTCTTTTATTTCATCTACGGCTCACTTTTCATTAGGCATTCCAAAGCAATTTGCAACGCAACAGAACAGTGACATATCTAAAAATGGTTAAAACACTTGCATATAAAGAAATAATTTAAAAATGATTCTAAATATCAAAACAAATACTGATAAAAAAGCAATACTGAAGGTGAATTTCATTCATTGCTGAAATATTAAAAAGCCCCAAAAGGACTGCATATCTGGTTACTAAATTGCAGTTAACTTGAAAGTTCCACTTCAATACCTTATTTCCCAATATGCCTTCACAATTCATCCGAGACGCCTGCAATAGATATTGCATCATGAAATAAAAAAGAAAGACAACTGTCCTTCAAAATCTGTACTTTGCCGAATTCTGAGCTGCAGATCTCTAACAAAACAAAAAGTGTACAAAAACGTACTATGGGATAATATGCACAAAGATGCATGTATTGGGGGGGAAATACAGAAAAATACATCATATTAGGAAATGTCTATATCAACTTACGCAAAATTGCATGCAAAATATGTATATTAGGAGAAACGCACACTAAATGCTAACAAATTCCATGCAGACTTTTTTTAAAAACATGCAGCAAATTGAATTTATGATTGGGAAAGAGAGAAATCGAGAGATTTATCCAGCCCTATTCAAGAGTTCACTGTTGTTGTTGTTTTTAAAGTAACACAATGTCTGGTGAAATAAGGCTTTAGAGCAGGCTTTGAACAGCTCCCTGGCAAAGGCATCCCAAACAGAAAATGCTTAATCATCATGACTGAATCTGCCTACAGAAACTTTTATGGGAAGACAGAAGAGGAGCAATACAGCAGTAGGTTGTCACTAAGCAAACAACTGCAGGAATGAATGGCTTAATGAGTATTGGCTGCAATGTTGCCAGGTAAGCAAATAAGTGATCAAAGCAGAAGGAGCCAAGTCCGAGGTAGACACAGGTTAAGAAGGAGAAGTGTGTGGCAATCAATAGCAAAACATGGTGCCAAATGACTGCCGTAGTCCCATGCACCTGCCAATATGTGGCGACGAAGCATTATTTAGAATGGAAAATGAATCAGTAAAGGGGAGGAAAGTCTTCTGTGCTCTCAAAAATATGCAGCATTTTGCAAATGCCATTGGAGTGGGATATGGCTAACCTGTGAATTCAAAAATAGGACAGAACTAAATAATTGAAAAACAGAGGTGGGTGGTTGTTGTTTTTAGAAAAGGGGGGGGGAGTCAGTGATCTCCCACACCACAGGCCAATCCCGACAAGCTATGCATTTTTATCTTCTCTTGATTACACTGGCAGCATTGACACAGCTAAGCATATCCTGAATGGGATTTGAAAGAAGGCATACTCTTTAAATCCCTTTCAGGAGTGCACAAATTAAAAGGGGTATAGAAAAGGATGTCCTTACAGTCAGAAGGTTTTTAGTCTTCTTTTGCTGAAGCTGTGGACAAGTCTTTCAAGTGATAGGCTGGTAGGCCTTGGTGCAAGCAAATTGACTTGCGGTATTCCAGTCTAAACCACTGAGCCTAGGGCTTGCTGATCAGAAGGTTGGTGGTTCAAATCCTCACAATGGGGTGAGCTTCCGTTGTTCAGTCCCAGCTCCTGCCAACCCAGCAGTTCGAAGGCATGTCAAAGTGCAAGTAGATAAATAGGTACCACTCCGGCGGGAAGGTAAACGGCGTTTCCGTGCACTGCTCTGGTTTGCCAGAAGCGGCTTAGTCATGCTGGCAACATGACCCAGAAGCTGTCTGCGGACAAACGCCAGCTCTCTCGGCCTATAGAGCGAGATGAACACGAAACCCCAGAGTCATCCACAGCTGGGGTCCCTTTACCTTTATTCCAGTCCACAACCTGAACAGGCAGATTTGTTGCTAGATATGTATGTGAATTCTCAAGACCTTGAGATTTTCTTCCGGTTTCCTCATCTAACAAAGGGAAGTGAGTAGCTGCAAGGGAAGAGGGCCTTTTCAGTGGTGGCGCCCTGCTAGAGCAAAATTTGAGTAAAATCAGTACAGTTTTGAAAGGGTCAGTCTGCTGTCTAATTGGTATCCAACAGACAAATACCAACTCCTTGATCTCAGGAACCTTCATGCAAAATTTGGCGATGATGCAAACAACTTTCCAAAATATTGATGCAGATGAACCAGAATGATGTTCAAAACAGAAATAGGATATATTAATAATCATATAGAAACCTATTAAAATAACATGATATTATTCTGAAATTAACAGTGACCAGACCAAAATTATCCTTCTGGGAAGGCCAGTTGGAATTAAAAATGGCATTAATAGGTCCTGATACCCATTGCTGTCCACAGCATATATGTAAATATTAGTTTTATACAAGATCTCATAATATGCAGTGACCTGTCATTCAGATGGATGAGGAAAGAGGAAGATTTACTGTTAGATCTCAGAAACATTGAAATGAAGAACTTCATAGACTGCGATTCCTGCTAAAGATTAATTCAATTCAGTAAAGGCTAAGATACACTAGATACAATTTTCAATAGAAGATTAAGGAGAAGAAACAAATATGAGACAGCAATATGATTTATTCTTTCCAAACATTATTCTGAAATTAGAGTTAGTCATGGCTCAGTAGCATCATATAAATGGAACAACTTGCTTGGAGAACCATTTATTCTAACAAATGAGTTGAGCTAAAGGGAAGTCTTAGAAAGGTTTTCAGACTGGTTGATAATCCTTACGGTTTTAGCAGGGCTGAACAGTTGTGTTGAAGCCATGCCAAAGTTTCTCAAAATTAGACTTTGGTTCAGATGTAATGGGAAATGCATGAAACTCATTTCTTATTGCTTTCCTAGCAGTGAGAACAATCAAACAGAGACAAAAGTGTTTGCTGGGGAAGTCACATGAGGGAGAAAAGAAAAGCTTTCCTACCCGAAGCTATCACTACCCTAAGGAGTCTCAAAGCGACTAACATTCTCCTTTTCCACTTCCTCCCCCACAACAAACACTCTGTGAGGTGAGTGAGAGACTTCAGAGAAGTGTGACTGGCCCAAGGTCACCCAGCAGCTGCATGTGGAGGAGCGGAGACGCGAACCCGGTTCACCAGATTACGAGTCTACTGCTCTTAACTACTATACCACACTGGCTCTCTGATGATGATGATGATGATGATGATGATGATGATGATGATTTATTTATTTATACCGCGCCCATCTGGCTGGGTTTCCCCAGCCACTCTTCCAACAGAATATTAAAATACAATAATCTATTAAACATTAAAAGCTTCCCTAAACAGGGCTGCCTTCAAATATCTTCTAAAAGTCTGGTAGTTGTTTTTCTCTTTGACATCTGGTGGGAGGGCGTTCCACAAGGAGGGTGCCACTACCGAGAAGGCCCTCTGCCTGGTTCCCTGTAACTTGGCTTCTCGCATCGAGGAAACCGCAAGAAGGCCCAGCACTGGACCTCAGTGTCCGGGCAGAACAATGAGAGTTGTAGACCAACAACACCTTGGGGTGGCGTGGGGGTACAGGTTCCCAGGCTCTGCTTTAACAACACGTTAACAAATTAAACTGCTAAAGGGTTTTGGGATGAGTGTTTTACTCCTGTGAAAATACACTCGAGAGATCTCAGGCCATATAAGAAAACCTGATAATAATGAGAGCCAAGACTTCTAAATATAGATAGCAGTTCTAGAGCAAAATCTGCTAATTTTTGGTGCTCACTACAACCTGTGATCATTGAAATGAGACCACTTAAAAGGCAATAATAATAATAATAATAATAATAATAATAATACAAAGACCTTTTAGTGCATCACTGAAATAATACATGTGGTTAGTTTGAAACTAGGAACTGCCTATACCATGTTGCAAATTCTGTATATTTAACTGCATATAACATTATGCATATTGCGTCTATAATTACCCTAAAATAATTACATTAAAGGTTTTGGATAATGCAGTTTCAGCTTACTGAGTCCTGCGATGTAAAAATACTGGTTGTAAACCAATATAAAACAATGGAAAACAACTTGTACAAAAGGGGACTTGCTTTGAAATAATATGCAGTTGGAAATGTTGACAATAGGACCCGTGGGATGAGGTGGTGAGATTCAGAGAAATCTCATTTTATGGATATGTATTTGGCATCGTAATTAATTTTTCATTTATAAAATCAAATAAAAATGATTTTTTTTAAAAGCAGACTTGCTTAAGTGTGTAACTAACCAAAAAGTAAGTTTAAAAAAAGAGATGAAGTCAAGATGTACCTTTCAAAGTGCACAAATGAGGCACCGTATTCTTAACAAAATAGTTTTCACACCTCATGCTTTATGAACTACTTTTCATACCAAACTCTAGGGTGGCTGTTGAAAGAGACAGATAATTAAGAGTGAACGAATATTCCTCCCCAGTTCTAGGAAAATTACCAAAGCCCCCTGCAGTGTTACAATATGTTATCTCTCTAGGCTCCTTCTTTGCTGTTAGATGGCATTTGCATACTCTGGCTTCCTTTTGGCTAGAAGAAGGGAGGGGGGAAAGAACTCCCTGGGTTTCAGCATCCTTCCATCTCCTCATTTACAAAGCTAATATTAAATACACCCTGTTGAGTGCAATGTGGATTTTCAAGTCCAATTTCTTTTCCAGGTTTTGTAGTATTGTTGCTTGGCAACAACGGTGTGTGTGTGTGTGTGTGTGTGTGTGTGTGTGTGTGTTCCAATGACCACCCTCACATGTTTGGGGAGCTCTGCTCACCACCACTGATACACCTGCTGGACACAAACCCTGCTGAGAAAAGAGCAAAATAGATAGGTTTGGAAGATAACGTATTTTTCGCTCTATAAGACGCACTTTTTTCCTCCAAAAAGTAAGGGGAAATGTGTGTGAGTCTTATGGAGTGAATGCAGGCGGGAGGCTCTGCTCAGCGCTCCCTTTAAAGGGAGTGCGGCTCTCGGGGGAGCCTTCATCCCGCTGTCCTGAAGAGGCTTCAAGCGGCTATCTGAGAAGCCAGAACAGCAAGAGGCTATCCCAGAAGCCAGATCCCTCTTGCTGTTCTGGCTTCTGGGATTCAGAATATTTTTTTTCTTGTTTTCCTCCTCCAAAAATGAGGTGTGTCTTATAGTCTGGTGCATCTTATAGAGCAAAAAATATGGTAGGTGTTTTCTCCTAATATACACAGTTTTTCAAAGCAATTTTCCAGAATGTAATGCATTGTTTAATGTTATAAAGCCTTGTCTCAGAACCGCAGTACCTCAAGGACTGCCTTTCCTCATATGAACCGACCCAGACCCTATGATTATCATCTGAGGTCCTTCTTCATGTGCTTCCTCCTTGAGAAGTTTGGAGTGTGGTAACACGAGAACAGGTCTTTTCTGCAGTGGCTTCCCATTTGTCGAATGATCTCCCCAGGGAGACTCGCCTGGCGCCTTCATTGCATATCTTTAGGTGCTGGGGGGGGGCACTTCTCCCAGGCCTTTGTGGCTTAGGGCCCTCGTATTTACGGGACCACCTCTCCTGGTATGCCCCGCAGAAGACCTTAAGGTCCATGAATAATCATAGTTTAGAGGTCCCGGGCCCTAAGGAAGTCAGACTATCCTTCAGCAGGGCTTTTTCAGTGATGGCTCCGACCTGGTGGAATGCTCTGTCCCATGAGACCAGAGCACTGCAGGATTTAACTGCCTTCTGAAGGGCCTGTAAGACAGAGCTATTCTGCCTGGCTTTCAATTTGAACTTAGGTTGATCTTTTATTCCCCTTCCTTCCCTCCCCCTCCCCCTTTTTATGAAGATTCCCCACTCTGGGATCCCATAGCTAATTCTCTCCTGGTCTCCTCACTGACCCAAATAGGACTAATTTAGCCAGCTAGCCCTGATGATCATCTAATGTTTATCGGATGGATTTCCCCCCCAAATTGATTTTTGAATTCTGAATTTATTGTTATTAACATTTTATACTGTATTTTATGCTGTTTTTGTTGCATCAATTAAGTGTTTTAAATTTGTTGTTAGCTGCCCTGAGCCCAGTTTTCTGAACAGGGAAGGGCGGGGTATAAATAAATTATTATTATTATTAGTCTAATTAAACTGTCTGTGGCCTTTTAAACTGTGTGTATGGGTTATTGTTTTTATTTGTTACTATGGTATGTATTTTTGTGTTTTTATACTGTAAACTGTCCTGTGATCCTCTGATGAAGGGTGGTATAGGAAACAAACAAGCATGTGGTAGAAATGTAAAAAGGTAAAAGGGTATTGGGAAATGATTTATAATGAATTGAAAAAAAAATGTTTTAAAAGAGTCATTTTTGTTGGGGATAGCCCAGTCTGAAATTCCCAGGTGTCAGAAAAGGTTATTTAGGTATGCAACAACTGCCGCCCGTGTTTTGTTAGCCCAAAAATGGAAAGTGAGCGAGGTCCCAATCAAAGAGAATTGGCAAATTAAGTTGGCAGATTTAACATATCGAATAAGAGAGCAAGAAGAACATATGTTTGAAAAAGATTGGAAAACATTTACTGAGTACAGTGGTACCTCGGGTTAAGAACTTAATTCATTCCGGAGGTCCGTTCTTAACCTGAAACTGTTCTTAACCTGAAGCACCACTTTAGCTAATGGGGCCTCCCGCTGCTGCTGCACCGCCAGAGCATGATTTCTGTTCTCATCCTGAAGCAAAGTTCTTACTCAAGGTAATATTTCTGGGTTAGCGGAGTCTGTAACCTGAAGTGTATGTAGCCTGAAGCGTATATAACCCGAGGTACCACTGTATATGGGAAATAGCTGTATACAGCTAAAAATGCTGGCAGCATTAAGATAAATTCAACAGAGTAAATAATTTTTGATGGACGTAAAAGCAGAAAAATTATTTGAATGATTTGAGTAAAATATGCAAGGATGCATGATATGTAAAATGAAGCACGGAAAGAGAAGAAAAGAGAAGAAGCACTGGATATTTAAATGTTTGTAAAATGTTTATTTGAAATTGTAAAACAGAAAACTTAATAAAAATTATTATAAAAATGGGGAACAAACAAGCAAACACACAATGTTATTTCTACAGATATATGCATTTTAGGCTCACTTTACTGCAATAGATGCATTTTGTACATGACTTGCTGGAAAGCCATATGACAAAATTCAAAGAAGGGTGAATTCTGAAGGATGGCTATGTTTCGATTCTAATATGGTCTTGGAAAGTGCAGATTTGATAGATTCTCCTTTAAATGCAAACTGGATCAAAATTTTCCTCCTTCCCTAATAGCACTGTATGTATTGCACACACACACACACACACACACACACACACACATTCACAATGTTGTACTAATAATGTCTGTATTCCTATCAATTATTTGGATCCTTTTTTTGCCACAGAACAGATATGAGTCAGAGGGTTTTAAAAAGCTGTGATAACGGCCTCAATGAGTGTTAGGCAGCAGTATTAAGAGCCTCGTTCATATGCATTCTTACTCTAAAGTAAGTTCATTGAATTCACTTGAGGCTTACTCCAGAGAGAGTGATCATAGCCCATATAGCAGAAATGTACTGATCTTTCCATTATGGGCCATGGTGGAATAAAGAGGAAGAAGAAAAGAAGAAGGAATTCAGCTATCATTAAGCTTAGCAATTCCTAGCTGCTCTTTAAAAGCAGCGGCTTTTATGGCTGTCATTCCTCTTTCAAAACTGGCATGCACCTTCATTTTATCTGCAAGCAGAGGCTTCGAATTTCTCAGAGTGGGGATTATGTAACAACCTGGTAACAAAGGACTGTGCTACGGCTCTCCATTAAAGCATTTGCAGGTTTGTGCAACGGAAGCACAGTTAGCTGCTTTCTAAAGCAATGAGCAGAGTGTTCTTGCCAGCTGCTCATTGTTCACCTTCTCAATATATATATACCTTTTGAACTCAGTACCCTCACTACCATTTTGATTTTCCCTCTTGCACCTCTACACCAGCAGTAGCTAACCTGTTGTCAGGATGCTGTCAGTGACTCCCAGCTTGTTGCCCAGGAAAGTATAAAGACAAGGGAAGTGAAATATACTCGGAGTCGAGAGTGGATTTCATGCTCTTTATTCAGCTCATAGTAGTGAGGAATGAAGGTTCCCCCAAAATATCTGCTTTATATACATTATTTACACAATGGATCGCACGTGATTGGCTAATTCTGGGATTCTCCTGTAGGCCAATCAGGTTGCGGAT